TTTTGGGATTAGTATTATATATGACAGTCTTTATTACATAAATCTTAAAGTAAATCATATACTTTTCAAATCTATCTTGATATAATTTGTATATAAATATGCTAACATAATTTACTTTCCTTTAGCTAAGATTAGTACCAATCACTAATCATTTTTTAAAGTGAGAATACTACTTAACAGTTATTTAATTAACATATGACTTTTTTGGAAGTTTACAAATGAATAATTACATTATTTTTTACATCAATCATTAATCAACACTAGCTGGCCTAATAATTTAAAATTAGCATAGACTAAGAGGCTTTATGCTTCTTAATCATTAATCAGCAATCAACATTGCTTTAGCAACGATTGTGTTTATTAGCCAAGATATTGATTAAGCAGACGAATTTACCAGCATTCTATCATTAATTAGTCATTAATAAATCTAATTAATTTACATCATTAAGCATGATCATACGGAGTCTATTACTTCCTTAAAAATAACAAAGTTTTTGAAGCATTATATGCTAAGAAGCAATGCAAGCCAAACAATTTACATAAAACAATGAAATAAATCAAATATAGGGATAACTAAGCTACATTTGGCTTCTGTAAAACTCTCAAGAATTACTGAGGAAGAAGAGATCTTTCAATTAGAGGATGCCCACATGTATTAAGGGAGAGAGGGAGCAACAAAAGTTTAGTTCATTCATTTTGTATAACTTAATTGTCCTTTAAGAGTGATATTTATAGAATTATATGCCCCATAATAATCTATTAAATAGCTATTAACTATCCAATATCTAATTCTAACAAAAGAACAATTGAATGCCTTTATTATTTAACATTATATTTCCCTTCACGCTAACCTTGACCTCAAGGTTAAGCACACTAATGAAAAAAATGATGAAATTGTAAGATGTAAACTAGTGGGGGACTAGTGAGCGAAGATTAGGCTGGTAATGAGATGCAAAAGTAGATCAAATGATGAGAGGCATTGAAATAAAACATCCAAAGAAGATCAAATGATAGGAAGGAACTAGCTAGTGTGGGATGCTTGCGACAAGAGGGTAAAAAATCTAATGTTAGAGCTGGATGGAGTTAGTAATGTCACAATTTTTAGATTTGGTAATGATGGCTTAGGGTGACGGGTTTGGTTATGTGACAATAGTTTGTATGATTTGACAGAGTTTAAGATGAGAGAAGAGATATATTTGGTGATTAGATGGAGATGGAAACAAGATATACAATTCATGCAAGAAATATGAAGATGTAGGCTATGATCAAAGGTGACAATCAACAAGAAGCTCAATAAGTACATCAATATTACATACATAATAAAAAATTTATAAATAATATAGAAATAAACTAAATATAAGAATAACTATGTAATCTCAATCTTGCCTATGCCAAAAATTATTGAGAAAGAAGAGATCAGCCAAATAGAGGATACCCATTGCTCCAAACATTAGGAGGGAGAAAGGGAGCTTCCAAAGTTTAGTTCACTCATTTTGTTGATCTTAATTCCCCTCAAAGAATGAATGTTAAAGCATAATTGAACCCATACAATCATATTAAATACCAATTAACTATCTGATACTTAATTTTTGCCAATAAACCACTCAATAAATTTATTTTCTAATATTAATGATGAATTCAAACTATTCAGAGTCAATAGAGTCATGGATGGGTAAAAGAGATGCAAGAGTTTTTGGGGCAAAGAAGAAAAATAAGGATAGGAAATCATGAATAAAATGATTTTTTTTTATTTCATTAATTGAAAAATAATAGCTAAAAGCCAATTATGCACATTCTTCATCTTAATATCATCCCATTATTATGTTAAGCTAAGTATAATAGGTGTCCCATTACTCTAACTACCTCAACAACGTAAACAAATCAACTCATACCATCTTCATATACACTAACAAATTTTAGGAAATAAAATGCATTATGATATTATTTACCCACAAAAAAACTTAATTATAGTCTTTTCCAAGTACTAATCCTTTAGCTTTGTTGGTATTTAAGATTTCAACCTTTATGTAATAATTATTTGTTCATTTTTTTCAATGGAGTCCACATTATGCTCATCAAATTCTTATTCCCTTTAAAAATAAACCTTCTTAATATCAAAATTAGGATGGATAGTTAATAGCCCTTCTTCTGGAATCAAAATAGCATCCTTATATGGTAGGCTAATATGTTAGATTATGTATTAGCATTGTGATGTGTTGTCTAGGAATGATTATTGTGTGATGAGTATTATCCTAAGGTGAATGACAAGGATTTGGTTGGTGTTTTTAGGGAAGAAGCATGAAATGTACACTACACTGATATTTTTAGTGCATGGATTGAGGAGAGAAATGTGAAAAACTATATGAATTTAGGAGTTTGTTTGAAGCTTTATATAATAAGTAACAAGAATTATGCATTTTGGTGCCTTAAATGAGACAAAGTACTTGTCATCAATGCCAAAATTGGGATAAGCAACAATTAGCTCCTCTTTTGGAATCCAAATAGCATCCTCAAGCAATAAGCTAACCCATTAGATTTAGTGATAGCATTGTGGCGGATTTCTCATGGTTGTTTATTGCATTATGAATATTATCCTAGGGTAAATAATGTGAAGTTTTAGTTGGGTATCCTCGAGAAGAGGGGAGTAATGTAGTTTGGTGTTAGTGTATGGCTTAAGGAGAGGAATGTGAAAACTAGATGAATTTAGGAGTTTGTTTGAAGCTTTATATAATAAGCCACCACATTGAAACACTATAGTATCTTAAATTGGATAGAGTAATAGCAATCAAGTTTAGAGTAATGGTGGTCATGCACAAAAAATTAGAAATGAGGTTGAAATTTGATGAGAATAAAATATTGAATGTCTAGGATCAAGTTGTGTTAACACTTATTGACTTGATTCTTTATGTACTATTGGGAGTAATTAGGCATTCACATATATTTAGAAGGATGTTTTCTTGATGCATGAGTCTAGCTTCAACAATTTTCATTAAAGAATAAAGCATGTATTTACAAACATTTTGAAGGAGTGCCAATATAAGGCTTACTAGAAGGAGATAGCCTTCCATAGAGATCCTAGAATTGGTTTTATGCTAATGGATATATGAAAGGAAGTATAGTTGGAATAAGTAGTCAAATGAAAAAATCTAGACCAAATATTTGGGTTGTCCATGCCATAACATGCTAAATACTTTTTAGGTCCTTATTTAGTTACTTAAATTTGGTTGCCCATCTTTGAGTGATATGTTAAATTGGATATTAGTTCCTAGCTCTTTGAACATCACTCGTCTAAAGTGACTCTTGAAAATTTTGTCTCAATTGGAGATAGCAGTCTTTGGGGTGTTATGAAGGTGACAATTTTTAATGATAAAAAGTTTTGCCACTATGCTAATGGTAAAGTAAGTTGGAAGATGCTCAAATTTTGCATATTTTATCAGACAAATAACAATGACAATAATATTTGATTTATCATTGAATGATAGTAATCGGACAATGAAGTCCATTTTTAGTAGCTGCACGAATTTGTAAGGTTTTATATGTTTAGCAAAGACTATTAGTTATTTTTTTATAGCTTAATAGATCAGACAAATCTTGATGAATTCATAGGCATTGTCTCTCAAATATGGCTAATAAAATTATTCATGAATATAATTCATAGTTTTGTGTAAGGCACCATGATTGCCAATAAGTCAAAGCATTCCCTATTTAAAAGTAGAGGTGATAGTGATTAGAAAAGGGCTTTTCTTCTTGATAATCCCATAATGCATTGATGAGTGGGATAGTTTGGCTTGGTGTGGCCCTAAGGCTCCATCAATTGAAAAATAAAAATAAAAATTATAGTGAGAAGATGAGTTTGGATGAGCTACCTTGAATTTTCTTTGTTATTCTAGAGTTGGAGCACTTAAAGCTTAAATCATTCATTTTCCATGCCCTAACTCCTTTATAGCATTACATAACCCATAACTCCATAAGCATCTATTAAACATATTAACCATCTAATGCCTCATATTAACCTATAAATTACTCAATACATTTACTATTCAACACAATCATTTAAATTATTTTAACCTTTCATTAACATAATTCTTTATCAATCAATCAAGCACCTTAAATTCACTTAATGCTTATACTAAATTCCCTTAACAAGTTTACTAAAGTGATTTGCCCCAAATTAAATGTATTACATGTAACATAAGCATTGCATCATATAGCAAAAAAATGGAGCTCATCTTGATCTATTAATTGAGAGTTTTGACAAGCAACTAATGCTTCGTTTGGGACGGATTTCTTTCTGCTTTTTAAAGCAGCTTTCAAGTATAAAATTAAATATTTTTGTACTACAAAGCTGCTTTAAGAATCAGAAAGAAAGCTGTCCCAAATGAAGCTTAAGTCTTCATTTGGGACTCGTTTGGGACGAATTTTTTGCTGCTTCTTAAAATAATTTTTTAGAACAAAATTTTAATTTTTGTATTAAAAAACTACTTTAAGAAGTAAGAAGAAAAATGTTTCAATTAAGCCTAAGAGATCTTAAGTTCGAAGTTTACGTATATGATGCTTGTATGAGTTTAAAATTATTAACCTAAATGTCCGGAAAAAAAAAATTACACCAAAAATTAATTTATAATATTTCTTAGATGTTGCTTCCAAACAACCCTAAATATTAGTTCCATTTCATATAGAAATTTTGATTTCCAACCGTTAAATAGATTGTATAGCTAATTTGATTTAATTAATTTTGGAAAAATGTAAATTGACCCAATAAAAATTCCTCAAAATCATTACTCAATATTTTATTGCCTTTAGTAACATTAAAAAGTTGTATAATAATAAGTGATAATGAAAATATTATTCTATTTATTTCTAACATTAGAGATATATACGTTTCATATTTTAAAAATTTTATAAATGATATCATTATCCATGCATTCGATTTATTTGTCTGACAAATTTAAATTTGATCGATTGAACTATTCAATTCATAACTCAATAGCCAAATCCTCTTGAGTTTCAAATCTTCTGAGTTTTATATTTAACATTATTCAGAAAACAATCAATTCCCTAGCTAAAGAAAAAAAATCGCTGCTTTGCAGCTACAAATCCAATCTAATTTCTCGTATACAAAATCGCTGAAGTCATGAAAAAAAAAAAAAAGTCAAAATTCAGAAAAGAACTGAGCCCTAGATTCCCAGATCTCCTACCAGCAATAGAAAGATCAGTCCTGTACAAATCCCACATCCCCGAAACCCTAATCTTCTTCCCGCCTTCGAGACCATATCCCCAGTCCCCGGAGGCGTCGTCAACCTCGTCTGCGGCGCCTTCCCATCTTCTGGCGGCGAAGCCTCCGGCGAAGGCGTAACTGACCCCGAACCGCCGCCCTGCTGGTTCTGCGCTCCCTTACCAAAAACCTGCCGAGGAAGAAGAACGTTCGAGACGGCGAATACCGCAACCGGATTTTGATCGTAAACCGTTCTAGTAATCGTCGCCTGCACTATTCCGGTATCAATCGCCACCGATCCGTTCACCCTCGAGATATTGAGTGTGAACCACCCAGCCTGCGAATCCTCCGTCGCGATCGTCGGTTGAACCGGGTTTACGATCGATTCCAGCGAGCCAAGAGGGTAATAGGAATGAAGCACGTGAAATTTGAGAACCGCCGCCTTCCTCTCCGCTGGCAAGGACTGCAGCCTCTCCGTCGCTGGCAATCCGGCGAATGCCTCATCGGTAGGGACGAAGACGGTGATCCCCGCCCCATGCTCGTCATTCTCGAACTCCTCCACGACTCCCGACGCTTCCAACATCGACGCCGCCACGTTGAAGTCCCGACCGTCGAGAAGCACTTGAGTGATGTTAAGCGCCGCCGCCGGCCGCGTCTCCGATGCGGCGAGATCGAACCCATAGGGCATTAGTAAAGCGTTAACGGTGAAGACGGAAATGTTGTACGGCACCGTCGTAACCAGTGAGTTTATGGTGGCATTCGAAGGAAAGAAGGGGACGGGCGACCGAGCTGTGATAACGCCGTTAATGGGGTCACGGGTAAGATTGACCGCGCCAAGATTATTAGGGGCGCGGCCAGTGGTTTGGTACAGAGTAGTTACCAGCTTGCCAGTGGGCGGAATCCGGTGGAGATCCGACCACGAGAGGTATTCGAGTAGGACGTGGTAACGAAGAACATCGGCGATGTCGCCGCCAGCGTAGTGGAGGGCGTCAGATCGGACAAGGAAGGCGTTAGGGACGGCGAGGAGCGTGAGGGAGGAACGACCGACTAGGTCGCCGGTGACGGAACTTGATTCAAGCAGCTTGGCGAAGGAGGAGATATCTGGGTGACCGGCGAGAAGGGCGGTGATGTTGAACGCTAAAGCCGCCGGTGGTGCGGCGGAGGGTAGTAGAAGGGAAATAAGGAGAATGATAGGGGTAAAATGGAGAACGGAGAAATGTGGGCATTCCATGCTTGATTTCTCCTTCGATCTCCACTGAGAGTTGAGAAAGGTGTGAGCTGAGAGTGGAAAGATGCAGGAGAGAGGAGATGGTGGTGGAGAATATTATCATATAATATAATCTCTTTGTTTTATTTTATTTATATTAATAATAATGTTTAGTGGTGAGTCAGGTTACCGATTGTATGGTCACCGTCGGAATCCAGCTGTCGGTTGTGGCTGCTGCATTGTAATTGATGGCGCGAGATGACCGCGTTGCGGTCAGCGGAGCCCACGTGGGATGGTAATCGGATGGCTTCTGCTCTCGCGTTAATGAACGGTTGCTTCTCGTGAGGTGTCCGTACCTCCGAACTGGAGGCGTAATATATATAGAACAGGAAACAGCTGGATATCCATTTGTTTACTGGCACGTATTCTCCATGAGATCGGGTTTACCATCAGCTGGAATTTAGATTTTTCTAATTATTACACACTGAGCAGTAGGAATTTTTATTAGGTTTGATGTCCTGTGGTGTCCTGACATAACTCTACGTTCGGACGTCATTAAAATGATGTCACGTGCTCTTACTCTTTATCGTGAGGCCCAACGACCGGACCCGGGATTGGTATGTATTGGCTGATTTGTGCAGACCAGGGTATTGCTCGATATTGCTCGGCAATAACAAGAAATACCATTTTGTCAAGACCAATATCTAGCAATACCGAGCAATACACTCGGTATTTTTCGTTATTTTCAAGCAATACCTAGTAATACCGAACAATACCTAGCAATACCCAAACATAGGAATACCGGGTCACAGTTATTAGAAGGAAATCGTCCAATTTTTTTTTTGTATGTAGTAATAGTTACTGTAGCAGCTACACTTTGGCTGTGTTTTTACTATAGACAGAGAGAAATTCGGACAGTTCTACTCATCTGATGTCCTCACTTAATAATTTGCCTCATTTGGGGGGCTTTTTTACTACTTTCTAAAATATTTTCTTAATACAAAAAATTATAATTTAAAAAAATTTTGTACTAGAAAGTCATTTTAGAAATCAATAAAAATGATGTCACAAACAAAGCCTAAAACAAAAATAACAACTTATAGCTATTAATTAAGTATTAGTTATACAAACAAGTAACAAAATTAAAATTAGGACATAAATTAGATCCTGGGTTGATGAAATCTTCGTTTGGGACGATTTTCTTACTGCTTCTTAAAACAAATTTTTAATACAAAATTTAAGCAGTCCCAAATGGTTCAATAAGGTCAAAGTCATTCAATCCAATTTTGAGCCAAGTTTGCATAAGGATTGATCTAATCTATCTTGATTCGAGCCATGCCATGCAAGGCTCGTTAACTCTAATTCAAGCCAAAAATCAAACCATTTTTAATTTATTTTGATCTCCTAAACAAATTTTTAATAAAGCATGCATAACAAGACTCATGCATACGTAGGAATCTCAAACCTGAGTAAATATTATTTAGGCACCTCCTCACCAAAAGTCTTTGCATGAACAAATTCCATCTTTGAAGCAATGAAAACGACTCCGATCTCTCACAACAATCTCTCTCTGGTAAACCTTAGATATGAATTTGGTTGCAGAGTGGCAATCCCCACAGACCCTCAAGTTCTTGACAATCCTGATCTTTGTTCCTGGTGGTGTCTTCAGCAAAGCAAAGGCTATGGCCAGTTTCTCACTATGCCAATGCAATGCATCCTCTTTATCTTCTTCATCAATATCCAGCAGTATCTCTGATGTGGTGGCCATGTACCCAGCGCCCTTCAGCTTCTTCGCAATTTCCTCCACCATCTCATATATCTCCTGGAACTGTGAAAGCTTCTTCTTCTCCCCTCCTGCAACAAACTCGTAAATCTCACCATTTAGTTCAAACGAACTGAATCCTGGAACCTTACGCATTCCTTGCCCTTCCATCGACTTTCTGATCTCCCACTTCTTCTCCCACCTCCTGTTTAAAGCGTAGAAGTTTGATAGGAGGATATAGTTGGAGCCATATAATGGTTCCTCTTTGATTAATTGCTTTGTGACCTTCTCCCCAAGCTCAAGTCTTCCATAAACTCTGCAAGCTGCAATGAGAGTTCTCCATATAACTGGGTTTGGCTTGATAGGCATAGCTCGTACAAACTCCATTGCTTCTTCCACCTTTCCTGCTCGACTGAACAAGTCCACCATGCATCCATAATGCTCAATCCTTGGTTCAATCTCAAACTCCCTTGTCATTGAATTGAAGTAGCGACGACCATCTCTGACTAGCCCGCCATGGCTGCAAGCTTTGAGCACGCCAATGAATGCAACAGCATCTGGTTCAACCCCTGTGTTCTTCATGTCCTCAAAAACCTGTACAGCTTCAACTCCACGGCCGTGCATCGCAAGCCCGTCTATCACCGACGTCCACGATACGATGTTCCTCTCAGGCATTTCGTCAAACACCTCCATGGCGCTATCCACATCCCCGCATTTGGCCAGGGCATCCACCAATGCGTTGCAAAGATACAAGCTCTTGGGTATTTTCACCCTTTCGATGTAGGATTTAAGCCACTCCGTGAGGTCGAGCGCGCCGAGATCGACGCAGGCTGAGAGGATCGTCAAGATGGTGACATCATCTGGCCGGATGTTGGTAAGCTGCATTTGGCGAAAGAGGGCCACGGCATCGTTGGAGCGGCCGGAGAGGATGTAGCCGCCGATCATGGCGCTAAAGGTGACGGGACTTGACTTGGGCGTTTCGTCGAACACCTTGCGGGCCAAGTCGAGGGCGGCCACGCCGCCAGCTGCAGCATAGGCGTGAATGAGGGTGTTCTGGACGAAGGAGTCCCTGACGAGACCAAAGCGGAGGGCAGAGGCATGAACGAGTGAGGCGGCGGGGAGGGGAGAGGGGAGCGCCGCAATGGCTTTGAGGAGGAAAGGGAAGGTGAAGTGGTTAGGAGAAAGGCGGAGGCGGAGCATGAGAGAGAAGAGGGAGAGAGGGTGGAGAGGGGAAGGGGAAAGAGACTGGAGAACGGTGTTTAGGAGGAAGGAGTCGTAGAGGTGGAGAGGGGAATAGCAGGGGGAGAAGAGGAGAGCCGCCGCCGTGGCAGTGGCGACGGGGCCGAGGAATCCGGCGGCCGCGGCGAAGCGAGTGAGGACGAGAAGGTTGGAGTGCAGACCAGATTTGAGGAGAAAGGCGAGGGCTTGGAGGAGTTTGGGAAGGGAGGAGGTGGAATGGAGAAGGTTGAGACATTGCTGCTCGGTGGCGCGGCCGGGGCTTGGGGATGACGGTGGTTGGACCGTTATTGAGAACTGTGGGCAGGAAAGCATCCTCCTTTTTGTTTTGTTCAAGAAGATTTATTTCATGCTCTAAAAAAAGATTTTTTGTGATGAATATCGAGATATAAATTTAAAATTTTATAATAAATTTTAAGAATTTTTAATTAATTAAATTAAATGGTGCCTATACTTTCAAAAGAAGCTCGCATTGATCACTATCTTTGCCGCTCCTATCATTGTAAAAATTTCAACTCAATTAGCTTAAATCTCTATTTGAGAAAATGATAAATCTCTATTTGAGAAAATGATATTTCTAGCCTCCAAATCATTTGATTGCCTTAAGATCTGTGTTAATCATTGTCTAAATTGAATGGAATAAATCTTAGTCAAACTAGTACCCTAGAACTTGGAGTTGATTGGCCATTCAATTTAGATCATCATTAGCTCAAATCTTGAATCTAAGACTTCATTTGAGAGAGCTTTCCTACTGATTTTTAAATTAACTTCCAAGTACAAAATTTTAATTTTTTTACTAAAAATTTGCTTTAAAAAGCAGTAGAAAAGCCATCCCAAACGAAGCCTAAATCATCAAATTCAAACCATTAATATGCAAAGAAATTGTTCAACATATATTTGAGACGAACAATTATTACGTCCTCCGACCGGACGGACGTAGAGAAACGTCCGGTTGGAGGCCAAATCGCGCCAAAAAATGAGAAATACCGAGCAATGCCAAACAATAACGAGGAATACTATCACGTGAAGAACCAATACCAAGTTATACCGAGAAATATCAAGTTATACAAAAGTTGTACCGAGTTTTTCCTAGAAAAAATTCGGTACAACTCGGTATTGCTCGGTATAGCTCGGTATTGATCTTCACAGAGCAGTATTCCTCATTATTATCAAATAATACCTAGCAATACCGAGCAAATACCGAGTTTTTTGACAGGATTTTACCTCCGACCGGACGTTCCTCTACGTCCTTACACCGGACCTAATAAAAGTTCCTTTGAGACAGACTACCGATTTAATGGAGAATATATTAAATAAGATTTAGTACAATATAAAATATGTGCACATAATGCTACAAGATTGGATAGAAAGAGTACGTGTTGGTTCATTGAGAATGCATGGAGAAATTATATGACAATGATACTATAGTCATTATTAACAATGTAGAATTTACAAAGGTGAATTAGTGCATTCAATCTTAGGGGGATTAGCCTTAAAATATTTCTTATAGCATAAAGTAATCATTGTTAATTAAGAAATTAGTCATGATTATCTTTGTGATGATGATCAACTGAAAAGACATATAATGACCAATGACATAATATTTACAGAAATCTATTGAAAGTTTCAATTTCGTCCATTTCATTATTTTTGCTTTTTAATTTTGATGCTCATCTTCAATATAATTTTAATTACTATTTTATAATTAACAATTTTAAAATTATTATATCTGCAAGAATTAAGTAGATTGCATATATTATTTTTAATTGAAATGCCATTCTATAAATATTTGACAATTTTGTTAACATAAATAAACAATATTTTTATACAACTGCATCAGTTACTGAAATACACTCATCTTCTACAAAAGGAATGGTCCTCCATACTTTCAGCTTTAGTGAGTCATTTCCATCGCCTGAAACAAGTAGGAGACCAAAATGTAAGGGGAAAAAAATCAGGCTTACAATAAAAATTGATCAAGGAAATACAAACCTTCCTTTTCACCAGCCTTTTCAACGCAAATGGAAGCATAATGAGTGGGTAATTCAAGGAGAGCAAATTGCCAATTTTCAGTAAGGTTTTCAGAATCAGAGTGAACTTCCACAGCAATTCTGGACTCCTAACAAGGCCAATAAGGTCAACTTGGTTTAGAATTCCAGAATAATCAAACGCTCTTCTTGACGGAATGCGGTTATAACATACGTTAGAAGTGCGTGGTTCAAATACTTAGGCTTCGTTTGGTTATCCTCTATCTTTTCTAAAAGGTAGTTTTAAAATTATTGTTTGAGAGAACGGAGATTTTTAACGGAGAAGCAAATATCCTAAAGCTTTTAAAAACAGTACAAAAATACAGTTCCTTAAAAAACATTTCTGCAAAATTGTTACAAACAAACAACACCCAAAAAAAAGTTTATGCTGTTTCCAAACAGAGAAAGCAAAAAAAAAAAGCAAAATCAAACAAGGCCTTAGATGCTATCCTTTACCTGATGTCGTACTGTAAAGTTTCTGAAAGGTGCAGCTGAGAATCCCCTACCAAGAGCTTTAACATATGCTTCCTGAAATTTTGACCACTTCAAGTTAGTACTTAAGCTTTCACTATACTAAAAAAATTTCTACTCAATAGAACATGAGAGTATTCAATAATGGGCAATACTTTACAATTCATAAGCTGCTAATTTGTTATACAATTACTGGTGTTAACGAAGGGCAAAACTTCATAAAAGGATATTTAAAAAACCAATATACGCGTCAGTTGCATAGCACATGCTTTTCCTTGCAAAGAAACATTTTTGGGTTTCCTTTAGATATTCCTTACAAGCATTCCAGGAGCAGAAGAAAAGAAATAACACCGTAGAAAAACAAACGTTCAATGTTTTGTATTTAGATGAAGCCCGGACAGTTCCTCACATTGCCATATAGAAACAGTTTTGGGTTTCCTTTCAAGCATATTTAGAAGTAGGAGGGTAGGCCTCGGGTAACCATTAGATTTTCCTTCATTATGGCAGAGCTCACCAGTTCAAATCAAGGAAACAAATTATCTTCTCAGATAATACATATTAGCAAGAGCCTCATACCCTGAGCTCATTCATTCAAGATGCAGCAGCAATGGGATACAGAATGGCTTATGATAGCAAGGAACTAGAAAGATTTTTATTTGGTTACTCTTCAGAAAATAGCAGCCAATTTAAACATTCGAAGTCAATAAAGATAGAAATGGCATCAACAGATATAAATGCATGAGCATCAACAGAAAAAAAAAAGTATTTTTGAGCATTCAAAATTTAGCTCACTTTGAGAGTCCACAGTTTGACAAATTCCTGCTGCTGAATTAGAGGATCCGACGTGCCATGCAAGAATTCTACTTCATTTGGGGAGAAAAATCTGCGAGCGAAAGATAAGACGTCATGCTTCAATTTGCGATGTTTATCTTCAACATCAATGCCGACCTATCATAAAGATGGAAATTGATGGACCATAAATTGCACAAAAGGATCACATTTTTTCAAATTGTCTGATACATTGAACTCAATATCGAACTATTTGCATGTGGCTATAAATATCATCAATTACCTGCAAATCAACAGTCACAGCACAAGCAACTAAGGAGGAAGAATGTGAAATATTGAAATGCAAGCAAGGTGGGATCCAGCCCTCCTCATGCTGCCAGACTACCTGTAAGGACAAGTAGAGTGAAATAGGGAAACCATGTGTAGTTTAATCATCAAACGTCTGTACAGAAGCACAACTAGAAAAGGCAAGTAATTTCATTACAAGAAACCCATCCACCCATTCCACATTCAAAAAAACACACAAAAGCATACAAAACGGTTCAGGAAGGTGGGCGAGGGAGTACCTGTGGCTTGCCATATGTATTCTTGCTGAACCTTAGTGATTGAGGCATTATTTTACTCTGCGTATCTGAACAAAGAATAAGCATAATATAATGTATTACTATCATCTTACCATTATTTATTAAATTATTGGTAAATATACGCAAATACCGAACAGTACTTTGGCCTAGCCCAATACAATCAATTTCCAGAAATCAATGACAATAAATATAAATCTTTAATTTCCAGAAATCTTTGATTAAAGATGAAACACCTGAGGTAAATTGAGGGTTCATATCTACATTTTACAAGTGAAGCACACTTCACTAAAGCTAACCCATTCTAAGGCTTTGTTTGAGACGGCTTTCTTTCTGCTTCTTAAAACAGCTTTCTAGTACAAAAATTTAAATTTTTGTACTAGAAAGTTGTTTTAAGAAGCATTAAAAAGTCGCCCCAAACAAAGCCTAAATCTAATTAAAAATGAGCTGTGCAAGATGATTCAAAGCCTATATGTTTTCAATCAAAGGTAAACATAAGCATTACATTTATTTACTAGAGTAATCCTCCAAACACCCACCCCCATCAAAAAATAACAAAATGTAAAAGTGAAACACACTAGGATTGGATTTACGAGTAGAAAGTGGAACGATAAAGTTTGGAATATAAGGATGCCAAATTGGGCGTGAAGAATAAGTCACTGCAACCAGAAAAATAAATGCTTCCAGTCCCTCTTTTCAATTTAAATGATTTCGAATGGGTAAGAAAAAAAATTAGTCTAAAATAATAGTAAATAAGGGTATTGGTTCGTTAAAGAACATCACTGATCAGATGGCATTAGAATGGATAAGATAAAAGGAAGTCTGAAATAATAGTAAATACGGTTATTGGTAGAACATCACTGATCAGATGGAATTACCGTTAGGCAACAAAAAAAGAAGTATACTTCAACATACATCTTGAGAGGGTGGTGCGCACCAATGTACGTGCTAATAGTGCACCCTTCTGTAGTTTGGCTCCATTTAAACCAAAAACAGCTTGTCTTTCACATGGTGAGAGGATCTTTAAATATTGGTTTAGTAGAGAACCACACTTCACTTCATCAGGTACTATACACCAAAGATGAGCTTCCCTGGCCATAAGTAACAATTAAATAAGCCCAGCTATAAAATATCATGCAAGCATATACAGACTATCTTAAGAGAAAACATCTATTTCAAATCCATAACAAGCTTTTTTCATCCATCAAACAAACGATGGAAATTGCATTTAAGGGATATCCATTGAGATACTTGATATTATTCTAAGTATGCTTACAGATGCCATGCTTTTTAATGAAATTTTGCATTTTCATGGGGCTCCATCCATGGGTTTTGGGTAACTGACAGGATGGTACTTCTCATACTTTGCAAAAAAAATTCAGTCATTAAGAATAACATGACAATAACACCCTGTTAATAAAGCAAACCTGCCAACTATCATTTGTCAATTTTTTAACTTGACATGGTTATGAAAAGAATTGCTCAAAATGCATAAAAAAGATTGATATGCATGACAAAATTGAAAAACAGAAATGAAGGAAATCATACGACAGAAAGTTTGAGCAAAGAAACGTCAATTGCCTTGGAGATGGAAGAGGATGAGGAGGCAGTGAAGGAACGGTGAATAACTTCCTAGTGAAGATTTCGTTTGGAAAAGGTAGCATCTCCTTGTTGAGCTAGCGGCATATAAATACTTTTTCAACCTGCCAACAATGAAAATAGCAACTTAGCAACAATAATCATTCACAAAAAAAGAGTCCAAATATTACGCACTTTTTAAATTCATTAAAGAGATGTATATTTAGTAAAAGAACAAATACAACGTAGATGAGTAAGGTCAGCCAGCGCAGCCTAATACAATTTAGTTTCAGTTTAGCGTCCTACTAAGTGACACATTCTAGGATTACACACCTTAATTTAGAATAGTGAAGATTGACGTTTAGGTCCATGAAAACATAAACTTGAAATAAAACTTTTATCATCGCATGTAGGAGCACCAAAGGTATCATGACAGAACATTTACAAACTACATTTTAGGTCATTGGCTTGCATTAGAGTCCCCCATATTTCCATCAAAGAAACAGTTTCTCTACAAGGACAAAATAGACTAAGCAATAATAAACGAGAGAGATGAGAATGATAACAAGAATAATTAAAACTGTATACTGTTCAAGTTCACAACATTATAGCTAATTGGAAATTATCTATCCCAATGTATAAAAAACATCCACACTCAACAGACCTTCTAACTTGCAACATGAGGCCAGTTGGTTTCAAATAATAAATACAAAATGATGGCCTTTTTGGTTTAGAATGAGCAAAAAAAAGGATTACTGAAAGATAGAGCAAAGGTGAAAATTACCCCTTCCTGTTGAATTCCGAAGATTGGATATGGAAAAGTTTAACTTTATTATACAACATACTCCCTAATTATAGATCTATACAAGAGGTCTAATGAAGAAACAAATAACTACAGAATAATTAATAATTGCTGAAATAAAATCCTTCCTAAATCAGATGTCTAGCTATGGAAGATACTCAATGTATTTCTAGAAGGCTTCCCACGGATCTTTATTCGTAGTCGTTGGATCTATCAGGGAACTAAGGGCTGAGATTTAACACTCCCCCTCAAGCTGGATAATACAGATTTGTCATTCCCAGCTTGTCAATCATTCTGAGAAAGATAGATTGTCCAATCCCTTGGTGAGAAAATCTGCAATTTGATCTTTAGATGACACATGGTTGATACATATGAGACCACACTCTAACTTATCTTTGATAAAGTGTATGTCTACTTCCATGTGCTTGGTCCTGTCATGCTAGACTGGATTGTGGGCTATATTGATTGTTGATTTATTGTCACAATGTAGCTTCATGGGATCCTCCCACTTGATCTTTAGGTCTTCTAAAATTATTTTGATCCAGAGTAACTCACATATTTCCTAGGTCATAGCTCTATATTCTGCCTCTGCACTTGATCCTGCCACCACATTTTATTTTTTCTCCATGAAACTAGGTTTCCTCCAAGAAAGGTGCAGTATCCAGAGGTAGATCTTCTGTCTACTGGCGATCCTGCATAATCAGCATCAGTGTATGCTCTAGAGTCATTCCTTGATCTCAATCCCTTTTGCTGGGTTTCCCTTAAGATAGTGTAGTATTATGTCTGCTGCTTGCATGTGTGTTTGTTTTGGGTTTTGCATAAACTAACTGACTATACTTACAACAAATGCTATATTTGGTCTTGTATGTGAAAGGTAGATCAATTTTTCCACTAATCTCTGGTAAGAACATTTTTCTACATCTCGATCTTCTTTAGTTTCCCCAAATTTGAGATTTGGTTTTAATGGTGTTGGTGATGGCTTGCATGTTAGTTTTCTTGTCTCCTTTAATGATTTCATAGTTGGCTTATTTATTTATTATTATTATTGTAGTAGTTGATATGGGTTGGATGAACTAAATGTCCAATTAGGTAGACAACCAGGAGATAAAAACTAACCTAACATATGAGTATGACGCCCCAAGTCAAAATCTCATGGTTTCATTATTCCAGGTTCGTTGGAGCCCTTAGCCTACATAGTCGAGTGTTGATCAAATAATCCTTGTTAACAACCATGAGTTACCTCATTCAAAGAGACCTAATAGATTAAGGGGATGGAACCTAGTCCTAAGCTGACAAATGGGGACGTGCACAGACATATGCATAGAGAGCCTATATCTAAGTTATCTACCAAATGATGTCGAACATAAGTTATATGTACACTCATGAGTGATGTGACAAGATGAATGTCAATGAGAGAGCAGACTAATGGGACCCTAGTGCATAAGGCTTCTATCATACCTAGCATCTCCTGTCAAGACCACATTCGAGGCGAGTTCTATACTCCAAACTCTCTTAACCTACAAATGAACATATTGTTATCACTACAAATATTAATTCATATGGTACAAGTAATATCACTGAACCAGAATAAAGTGACTAACCTACTGTCAAATATTAGAAAGGAGAAGAGGCTAATAAGTGTAGTATCTGATTATTGTGTCTCCATTGATCATTATCGTAGAGTTCCTTATAGGCAAAATGTGAATACAACAAGATGTTGTTGTGATGGCGATCGAATGTTTGTGTAACTTTAGCTATTTTATAATGTTATGCACGAGGCATAAGTTTAAAATATAGACACAAGAATATAAAGGAAACATAACAACACTTCAAAGCATTATGTTAAGCAACCTATGTATGCACATGACAGGAAAATATCTTGTAGTTTATAAATTTTGGTAATTACCTTATTCATCAAGATGATATAGACATGGCATGTTTGGATTTAACAACAAATTTCTCCATAGACAAAAACCCTAACAATCATATGTATTGCAATCAACACAAGGGAAGAGCATTCTATAGTTTATTCAATGTGAAATCAATATCCACCTTCAACATCAAGTCAATGAAACTTAGTCAATACATGAGCAAAAAACTTTATTAACCGAATGCAACAAGTCCCATTTCATTAAAAATGAATACCCCAAAGGATCATCACAAGAAGGGATTAATGTGTAAGTACATACCTAAAAGAGAATTCAGATTGTTGTCGGGCACTAAATGCATGCAAAAAGAAGTACATAACTTTCCATGTAGAGGTTAATAAGGTAAGTTAAATGGCCAAGTATGTTATCAAATGAATGCACCACTTAGAATGAAACCATTAATAAACAACCAATTTGCAAAGGAACAACATATCTAAGTAATTGTTGTTCCAAAGAATTAGGAAGCGAGTGAAGTTGTTAACCTCAGGGAGATGAGTGTTGACCTCAAATTTGACAATCCAAATCATTCTCTTGATCACCAATAAATTTCGACTCGAGCTGAATTTGAGTTAATTAAAGTCAATTTGATCACATAAATTTAATTTGTTGATGCCGAGTCCGATCCGACACGATACAAGTCTAATTTGACCCCGACGTCATCACAAATCGTTAAATTGAGTCAATTGAGCCCAATTAAATTTAAATAGGTTTGATTAATACAACAACAAACAACAACATCAAGTCTTTATCCCACTACGTGGGGTCCTTATTATTTGACAAGTTTTATGCTGGCTGTCGACTACCTAACACAACCCTCCACTTTTCTCATCACGGACTTGGGACCTAGCAGTGACAGTGTTAAATAGGTTTGATTAATAATTAAATAAATTTATTTGAGCCTTGTTGAGTCATTTTTAACTTAACGCGCACCCAAAATTATTAAAAAATTTATTATTAATTAAAAATATTCAAACAAGCAAAATTGAGAAGATTCAACTCGAGTCGAGTCAAATTTGAAGCTCGTCGGCTTTGATCGACTCAGCTTGATACGACTCAGACCAATTTAAATAGGATTGATATTAATTAGCTAGAGTCAAATATAATTTCAATTTTCATGACTTCGATTAACACAATTTTTACCCAACTCGACTCAATTTTATCAAAGTCAGCGCAAATTAACTCGCTAAACAAACCTAATTTCAAATCTAACAATTTGGATTAAATATTTTAGCCTCATCTAGCCAAAAACAAGCTCTTAAATTCCTCTTAAAACAACCATTAATCTAAGCCCTTAATTTTGAATGAATAAGTGAGGCTAGGAATGTCTTTTGTCCCTCATAAGAAAGTTCTAGGACTTAAGAGAGGGAGGAGGCGGCTAATTCATTCGGCCTCTTTCTTTGTTTGTGCATGTGAACCAAAGAACGAGAGAGAGGTAGGCGGACCTAAGAAAGGTGAAGCTTGAGGTGAAATTTGACGTGAGAGGGAACTTCAATCCGATAATCCTCTCCCCTCGTCCTTCTTCTTCTCATTCTTCTCTTCATCTTCTTCTTCTCAAATCTCCTTCTCATATTTTATTTAGTAAGAAAAGAAATGAGAAATTGAGAGTTTCATTCCTTCATTCTTGAGATCTGCTGATTTTTTTTTTTCTTCTTGCATCAGATGGTTACATGCTTTCTTCGCTTTGAGAATCATGTTGATGAGAGAGGAATAATGTGAATGTATGTTATCATCCAGAAAAAAAAATTTAATCACTTTTTTGTTGTTGCGATAATCTAGTAAGAAAATAATAAAGAGAAAAAGAGAACTATAAATATGTTTCAACAACATCAAGTTTACAAGAAAGCATATATTGCTCTCCAAACTAATCAATTAGCACAAAAAATTACTGCAATCATCAAATATGACTATTGGTGAAAGATTATGTTCGACACATGATCATTAAAACATAAGAGAGAATCAATCATATGTTTGTTAGATTAAGAAAGACTTATATACATTGAAGAACTTCATAAATTAAGAACTTCATAAATTTCCCCCACCACAATTTTGGAATAGGGAAGAGTGATCATACTTTCTTCAAGCATTCAAATTCATCAAGAAAGAGTTATTTATAATATTAAACTAGTAAAGTCATAAGACTCCTTTCAATAAGTATTAAAATACAGTCACTAACTATTTAAGGCTAATTAAGAAAATAATAAATGAGGCAATATTTTCTATTTTTATTGTCAAAAAGAATCGGCAAATGAGTCTTATGCATATCAACAATATGAATATATATATTCTATCTCCACTTATTATCTCCTTACTACTTGATACGGCATCACAAAATTAGCTTGATCGGGCATGAATCTCGAGGCAAAAGCTAGTTGGAAACTTCAAAAATTAATTCCGAGAGCACCCGAATTCCGATTTTAGCGAGCTTATAGTCAAACTGAGCGTCTCGGAAATACGAACCCAACGACACCAAGATTAACCCAATCCGAGCCCAAATGAGTCCGAATCAAGGACCCGAAGCGCTGTTGGAAGGTTCAAACCGCAATTTGAGTTACCAAACGGTCTCTGATTTTAACGAGCTTATACTTGAATCGAGCGGCTCGACGAGACAAATCCAACGAGCCCAAGATCGCCGAATTCCTACTTCATTAAGGCCTCCAAATGTCCAACAAACGGTGCACGATCGAAGGGTTCAATATCGGTCGTCCATTCAAACCGCTCCCTATTCACCCATGATCTCACACCTATTTACGGGCTATGCCACTCCAAAAAAAATTATAAATAGAGCCCTCATTCTACACAAAGGGGACTCAAGTGAAGAGAGAGAAGAAGAAGAGAAAAAGAATGAAAAAGGGGAAAAGGCGAATCCTCTCCTCCTCGACCACCGCCGGAGCTCTTCCCGCCGCCTGAATATGTTGGAACTCTGCCGGATTTTTGGGAAACGAAGGGATTCTGCAAAACTTTGTAAATTTGCTTCAAGTTGTAATCTGATCGTCCCGATTTTTGGGACGAATCAGTTTCTTGTAATTCACAAAAACGATAGTGGAATTTTGCAACTGGGCGAGGCCCCGTGGTTTTTTCCCTTTTTGGGTTTTCCACGTATAAATCCAGGTGTTCTTTCATTTTCCTTTTTGTGTGTTAAATATACGTGTAACGCTCGGACGCAAATTTACAAACTCTACCGCCGCATATTTTCTAGCACGCAACACTACTAATTTTCTTTTTAAGAAAAAGAAAATGAGAATGCAAAATTATTTCTCATAAACTCAATTCAAATATATTTATGAAACATAAGAGGAATATCAATTAATATTACAACTGACTCATATGCTTTAAAAGAGAATAACAAGCATCACTTCGACATTCATCATTCCAAGCTTAAGAAAGAACATAACGCCACTAATTTCAAAAAAAACATTATAATTAATCACTAATTTCTTCCTTACAAAATAGTAAAATAATCTAAAAATCTTGTAAACTTTAAAGATAAGAGGAAAAAAATATTCTGATTATATATTTTATTATTTTTTAAAGAAAACTCAAGAATATATCATCACCCCATCTAATATTACAAAACATTTATTCCAGCCAACATACTTCAAAGGAATATACACAAACTTATTTGATAACAAAGATGATATAAATATTCATGCAACTCTAAAATGACAAAAGATGTATTCAAGATTTAAAAATCAAAATGTAAAATAAGACATCGACAATCATGTCCATCCATAGAAAACTTTTGATGTCAAATGCACATGTAGCATTGAAACATAAACGTGCGTGTGAATTTCTCAAAATAATCATTCACTCCAAGATTGAATGCATGTAAGTAACTTCATAGCGTGAGGTACATGAGATTATTCTGCTATATTCAGATGAGGGCGGCTAACATACATACAAAGACCCATTTCATCTCAATATTGACATAAAAGCTCAATACTTAACAAGTGAAACACTAGCATGTAGATTCATATGCACAAGGGAAATAATAAATCATATCATACCCCTTCATCAAACTCATTATATGGAACATTCAGCTAAATCATTAGACTGGCATGAAGTTATCCCTTCACAACAAAAGTGATGCAAGTAAGTTTTATCTAATAGAGAGTACATCCGCCTATGTTAATCACCCCATTTCCATATCAGATGCATAGACGTCTCATTGAATAAATCAAACCCTATGAATATATATGATGAAATGAAAAGGAGGCCAAACGCTCAAACCACATCACATTACAAGCAAAGATATCACATACAGGAAGCGTTTCATTTTGTCTTGGTTATTCAATTAATTATGGAAGAATGATACCCATGGATTTAACGTCTCGATTCATGATCCCAATTTCTGGCATATTACTGCTGCATATTGAAAGGAGAACAAGCAAACCTGAAATGTCTTTACAATGCAGAGATTTCTAATTTGTCAACAAATCTAGCAAAACAAGCTTTGCACTTATAAAGTAAAGATGCTCTCGAGAATCCACCGTTTTCTCCATATGTCCTCTAAAATGTGGTTTGCTGGTATGAGATAATTGTTTCAAGAATAGCATATTTGTGGTTATATACAGGCCTATAATCATATTGAAATGAAGACAACGGACATAATTGAAAAGATTCATCTTCTTTCACTGTTAGCACAGGATTCATGTTGAATAACGGTAGTACCAAAATACACATCTGCAGCAACAAGAGAAGACCCACTACATAGCGTCGAGAACGAATAGTTACACTGATTAGTGTAACTAAATTTCTCATATGGCAAAACAGAATGAAAGGAAACTTAATCTATTTAGCCGTGAAAGGTTGAGCCACGGCCTCGGAACTTTAGGGGCTGTTTGTTATCTGATTTACAGCGGGATTTAAGTCGGATTTACACTAAATCCAGCCAAACAGTTTTTGTGCGCGCGTTAAATCCCGGGATTCGGTAAATCCCGGATTTACGGATTTAAGGCTTAAATCCGGGATTTAGTAAATCCGAGGGGTAGCCGGATTTGACGGGATTTATCCGAAGAAGCGCGCGAAAGGGAGAAAGTTACCTTCACAGCCAGCGAGCTCCCGTTCTTGCTTCCGATCAAAATGTCGTAACTTCCGATCCGATAGGAAGGCGTCGACGGAGCGAAGTCGAACAGCCACGAAGGAGCCGAAGAAGCGAGGCGTGCAATCTATACACCTCCTGCAAAGCAACGAAGCGGAACAGCAACTTTTCTGCAAAGCACCGAAGCCGAACAGCAACGACGAAAAGAGAAGATTAAAGGCAAACCATAGACGCCCCTAAGTTATTATTGATTAACTTAATTAATATAATTTAAATTATTAATACTTAAAGTAAATTAATAGATAATTTAATGTATAATGAGTGCATAACATTATTTACTAATTTGACTTCATTGTTATAATTAGTAATAATATTAATTCATGTAGATAATTAAAATAACTTAATATATCATTATAAATTATAATTAATGTATAAATAATAATTAATGAATAATTTATATACTAACATATTATTAATTTTATAAACATATATATATTTTTTATTTTATTAATTATAAATTTATTTTTAAGTATTAATTTTTTTTCATTTAAATCCTAACTGTTATAAATTCTGAAATAATTATCAAATATTTTTTAGAATTTAACATGATTTAACATTTGGCATACATAATTTAGGGAACTGTTAATTAAAAAATCTCAAACCAGTTAAATCCTTCGTTTCCCTCTTTTGCCCTAAATCCCGGATTTACAGGAGTTCGGCGGATTTAGGATTTGGCCGACGAAGCGCGCGAAAGAAAAAAGATGGCTACCTTCGCAGCAACGAGCAACTCCCGTCGTGCGTCGTCGTTACTTCAGAATCCAACAGAAAGAACGGCGAGGAGGTGGCAAGAAAGTTATTTAGCGACTCGTTCACAGCCGGAGAAGCGGAAAAGCAAACCTAGGTAAACCTGCGGCTATTTGAAGGCAGCGATGAACAAGTAGGAATAAAATAATTTTGTTTAACTAGATTAATTAAAATTAATTAATAATATAATGTAATTAATAAAAATTAATTATTTAGATTAATTAATAATTAACTTACATTCTCATTTTATTATTTATAATGATTATAGTAATGATAATAATTAAATAATAAATAAATAAATAAAACAATCAAATTAAAATTAATAATGTATTTCATAATTAAATTATTCTCTAATTATATTAAAATTTGTTAATTTAATTTATTGACAGTAATTAAAATTATTATTAATAAATAACTTTCACTTAAAATACAAGTTAAAATTGAACCATAAATTAAATTAATTTTTTTAATAAACTAACTATGATGATATCCAACATATTTAAGAAAATCAACCAGGCATGAAGTATCCAGTATACACATAACAAGCTTTTCTTTTGTTATTTCTGTATGAAACTAAAATTGAACTGTTTTGATACTCGGGTATGTGTTGGCTGACATTGTATTATTATACACACTGTGTATTAAAAATAAATAAATTATGTATAAAATTATATTCAGTATTGTAGCGATGTTAGAAAATACGCGGCGGTAGAGTTTGTAAATTCGCTACCGAGCGATTGCACGTAGTTTAACACACAAACAGAAGATACAGAAGGAGTGAACGAACCAAAGAAGTTTTATTTATGTAGTTTATTTAATACGAAAAATTTGGTGACGGATTCTTCCCACAATGCGGATAATCCAAAACAACTTGTCTCTTCACGAACATTCACAAAATCCTGCGAATTTCCTGATTTCCTAAAATCCGCAGATTCCGGCGTTCTCCAGACGCAGGAAAAAACTCCGGCGGCGTGGTCGAGGAGTAGGAATCTCTACTTTCCCCTTTCTCCATTTCTGCTTCCCTTCTTCTTCTCTCTCTTCACTTGAGTCCCCTTGGTGTAGAATGAGGCTCTATTAAAAAATATTTTCTGAGTGGCAGCCGTGAAGGTATGACGTGAGATCAAGGGTCGAATGGGAGTGTTTGAATGGCGGACCGATATCGAATCCTTGATCTGCCACCGTTCGTTGGTCATTTGAGCCTTATGAGGTCGGAATTGATGATCTGGGCTCGTTGGATTCGTCTCGTCGAGCCGTTCGATTCGAGTATAAGCTCGTCAAAATCGGAGACCGTTTGGTTACTCAAATTGCGGTTTGAATCTTCCAACAGCGCTTTGAACGCTTGATTCGGACTCATTTGGGCTCGGATTGGGTTGATCTTGGTGTCGTTGGGTTCGTATTTCCGAGACGTTCAGTTTGACTGTAAGCTTGCTGAAATCGGAGTTCATATGCTCCCGAATTTAATTTTTGAAGTTTCCAACTAGGTTTTGCCTCGAGATTTGTGCCCGATCAAGATGATTTTTTGACGCCGTATCAAGTATATACATTGTGTACACTCACATCCGGACAGTTCTTTACCGTTCGGACTCCGCACGGAATAATTTCTCTTGCAATTGAGGTTTTCTACTGATGTTGGTGATCTTTCTTCTATGTTGCTTTGGGTTTCTGTTGCTTACTGTAGTTGATTTTCTATTTTTCTCAAGTGTAGGTTTGCAAATGAACCGTGCCTAATAGAGCAGATGCTTATTCATATTCGAGCTTGTTTATTAGCAGTTTGTACGAGCTCATTTTGAGCTCGATCCTAACTTTTTTATTTGCGTTCAAATTTGATTCATTTAAAATGAAAGATGCTTAAACTTGGTTTGGCTTCAGCTCTTATTTGGTTCATATTGTGCTTGTCAATATTTAAATGAGCAACTCATATGATTGTTCTTAACGTTCCAAAAAAAAAAAGCTATATAGTCAAATTATCAGACATTTTGCTATACTTTAGCACAGAATTGGACCACCCAAAAGTTGTTCAAAGTCTTAAAAACAACTCAGCAGGCGACTATCTCTTTCTCAGAAGGAAATCCAATGCTGCTGCTATCTTTATTGGACCCTTCCATTCTTTGCCATCATTAGGCAAGCAGAGGACCCCAACACCTATAGCCAGCAATAATTCTACAGTTGCAGATATCTTTTTTTTTTACTTTTCACCTTATAAGCAGGATCATGCCTTCATTGCTTGGGTCTTGGTTTCTTTTCCCTGTTAGAGCATCCTATAATACCGGAATTATTGTAGTAGAATTACTAATTCAATAACAATCTATCCCTCTTCCCAAGCAATTTGGGCCCCGGAGTAAACATTTTTCCATTACCCACCGCGGCTTAGCTCAAGTGGGCGGAGCTCGGCTGGGCAAAGCCCAGGTCCCGAGCTCGAATACCTTGGGCGGCCCTGACAGCCTTAAGTGTTGGTCCAGATAAATTGGTGTGAGTTGCCTACTATGTCAGCTGAAATTTACTCTTTTGCTTTTCTTCATCACCAAAAAAAAAGCATTTTTTCATTTATTTGAGAAGTCAAAAGTTTGAAGCACTAGTGTATGACCATCTATGCTTTCTGGTCCAAACACTGGCTGCTATAATCACTTCTATTTCAGCCCATTTGTCAGTATTGGATACTTACTGTTGCAGCCTGCATATCATCATGAAAACTTGGACAGAACATTGAAATGAAAAAGGAGAGCCATAAGGCATTGCACAACATTCAATGTACTCACATTGGCTCTCCTCTTCCTATTCTTTTCTCCGTTTTCTCTTTAAAAATGCCTTTCTCCACTCTCCAGTCCACCTTCTTTTCTTTCTAATGATCTCTTTTCCTTTCATATCTCTAGATTTGTGCGCCTGTTTCTCTCCTTTGTAGCCTTGCAAGTTTTCTTACTAGCATTGCCAAGGATGAAAAGGCAATGAGGAATGCTTGACCTGATTTGATCACTGATCAGTTAAGTGCAGTCAAATGGATCAACAGGTAAGGGATATTTAAGATCTCTTAGTAGTTTGTACAGAAAACTTTCATTGGCCTGTGTGATTATGTTTGGCTCTTGATCAATAACAGGAGGGGTGGCCTCTTGGTCTCCAGCCTTTAAGTTTGAGGCTTGGATTGATAAGGAACTTTGATTTCTTTGACTCTGTCTCCTTCAGCAGTGCGAACACTGGCTCCTCAAGATCTACCTCTCTCACTTCATCAGATTTTGATTCAGAGGTCAGAGAAACTCAGCACAAACTTATAACAAAAACACATTTAATTTGCTGTAATTCTTATTTGTTATCATTTCATGTCAATGGAAGTCATTTGGATATCTGTCCCAGGAGAGAAATGTTACACTTGGCAGCTTTATGGGAATCAGAGGAAGCATACTGGAGTTGTCAAGAAGACCATTTAGGAGGAGCAGAAGACATGAGAGTTTGACAGAGAAGAAGCCGAAGAACAAGCCTTGGTTCTCTCTCTGCACAAAACCTCAGCTTGAGTTCGAGAAGGGAGATTGCTCTCAATCTCTTGGCCAGTTTCTTGAGATGGAGAGGAAAGCTTGCAATCTTCATGAATCTCCAAGAGTTCACTCTGGTATTTGCCATACTAATAACGGTCATGGACTTCCATTGATCTTTCAGTGCATTGGAAAACGAGTTACTCGTTGAGAAGCACTAATCAGTTCTGCTTTCTTTGTATTAGAAGAGGGAATGTGCTCTTTTTTTTTTATTTTTCTTTAGTTCTATTCAAGGTCTTGAGGCATGATTACCATGAAATTCTTTTGGAATGGATGGGTGATTCTCAATTGATTTAGCTAGGTGCTTTTAATTATAACGGTCTAAAGATTCTGATTAAGGATAATTTTCTACAAGTCAATTTGCTTAAACTTCAAATCCCAAAGCTCTAACTGAAGGCACGCAACTCTTTTGCTGTTTTGGATAATGATATGCGGTTTCATAACTCTAGATGCATAGCATATCTCAGCGAAAGTGAATGCCTACTGAAAGATTCCTTTTAGGGGTAAATTAGCAGAGCTAAGATAGAGCCACCTTTTTTTTTTTTTATACATTTAGGTCAATTAAGTTAGACTCACACGCGCATCGCATACACAAGTCTTGAATACAATATCTATTAGTTGGTAGCCTAAGCTCCCAACCAACCAACCAAGATAAATTGTGTGCTAGAGCCACCTTTGGTAGGCGTGTCAATATTTGACACGACATGAAAACCTGATGCAGGCCCGACCCGAAAAATCCGAGTTGGATCCGACCCGATTTCAAAACGGGTCGGGTTCAGGTTCTCGAATTCGACCCGTCTGAAAAACGAGTCAGGTTTGGGTTTGACCCGGTGGGTTGCCGGGTCAACCCGCAAACCCATTTAACTTGAAATGCCCGTGCTGCCCCGCCTGCCTGTGAAGCTGCCCCGCCTTCCCGCGCACCGCCTGCGGCTACCCGGACCCCTGCCCCCTCAATTGCCCGCGCGACAAAGCCTGCAGTGCACGCTGCCGCGCCTACCAGCACCTTGCGCCCGAGGCTGCCCTACCAGCACCTTGCGCCCGAGGCTGCCAGTGCACGCTCGCCCGCGTGCACTCGCGCTTGCCCGCGCTCCCATGCACGCCTGCTCTATCCTGACCGCGTTCGCGCGTTTTGGGTCTTGTGTAGGGTCGGGTCAACCCGGCAACCCGCCGGGTCGGGTCCGGGTTCGGATTTCCGACCCGTTTATCTACCCGGGTCGGGTTAGGGTCGACTTGTTTGAACCCGGGTCAGTTCCGGGTTCGACTCGAACCCGACCTGTGACCCGAAATTGGCACCCCTATCCTTTGGTTTGATGTTGAGCTTAGTTTTATGATTTCGAATCGGCTCATCAGCCCATAACTACGGTGATAAAATAATAAATATAAGTAGTTAGAGGACAAATAATAAAAATCTCTTAATATAAAAAATGAGAAATTTTTTAAATATTTTTAGTAATTATATAAACTTCTAAGTGCATTTTAATGCACATTTTTTAAATGAGATGACTGACAAGCTAATGAATTAAAGTCGAGCCTGATTCAAACTCTAGTTTATATAATGTGCTCTATACTATGCATATTTGTTAAATTGAGTCAACGTCTTCTTCTATAGAAGGACATCGTTTATAATCAACAACAAATATTAATAGAATCATTTTAATTGTGTCAGACTCAGTTGTTTTTTCCCTTTTCTGAAAGTTTAACATTAAAAATATAGCACTTTTATGATTGTTGCACCCTCTTTTCTTATCTGTGTGTGTGCACGCTGAATCTTCATACGAAATCAGGACGCTAAACTCTCTATTTCTCTACTGTCACAAATATTTCGGCACTCAACAAATATCTATTACATTCTTTTAAAAATTATTTGTGCATGTTGAATTTTCATAAAAAATTAAGATATAAAAGTTCAATTTCTATCATCATATTTCTAGCAAACAATACTAATATAATTTATATATAAAAAAATTTTTTTGATATAATTTTTCATTAAGAGGCGCATCACATGATTGAATTTCGAATTTCTTACATAATTTGTTATGAGGGAGACAATAATAACCTTCGTTCATTTAAGGGACAACATAAATAGCATCCTTCAAAAAAAAAAAAAAAAAAAATTGAGGCAGTGTTTATTGAACAATGGCTGATGTGAGAGCGACAGCCAAATTTGATCTACTTGAACCCTGATTTCCTAATATGAGAATCCATGTTACTGCTAGGATTGTAAACGAAACGAGTCGAGTCAAGTCGAGTCGAAGGTCTTTCTAATTTGAGCTTGAGTTTGATTAATTACTCGGGATCAAGCTCGAACTTAATTTTATGAATTTGAACCGGCTTGTTTATAAGAAAAAGGTGAAAAAATAATTATGATTTAAGTAATTATTATAATAGAATGAGAAATTAAAGAATAAATAATAAAACTAAGATATAATTTTTACATATTTTGATAGCTTTATACTTAAACTCAGGATTTATAAAATGTTTTAAGTGTAATGGGTTGGCTTACGAGTTAATGAGTCCAGTCGACAGTGGCTCAAGCTTAACTCGTTAATTCACCAAGCTTGCCATTTATCGAGCCAAGATCAAGCTGGCTCACGACTCTGCCTGGTTAACATGCTATCGTGATGGTAAGTATTGCATAAGTCATTAAGCTTCGTTTGAGACGACATTCTTATTGCTTCTTAAAGCAGCTTTTTAGTATAAAATTTTAAATTTTTGTAATAAAAAATTATTTTAAGAAGCAGTGAGAAAGTCATCCCAAATGAAGCCTAAGTCTTGCCTATATAGTTATTAAATGTAAATTTCTTTTGCCCAATTAATATATTATGAAATATTTAATGCCACAAGCTTAATTAATATATATTTTTTTATTTGATAAAGATGTTGAAGATTGTTATTAAAATCTTGAGATTAAAATTTAGGCATATTAATTTTTTTTTGTAAAAAAATCAATTAATAAGTTGACTAACTATTTACTTATTTAGCCAAAAGAATCTGCTTCCAGTTTCCAGCAACGAAATTTCCTAGAACTCCATTTGCTATGCGAGCTCTCCCATTGCGGGGGGAAATTATTGGGTTCGGACACTGGATGACGTTCGGAGTCCAATGAAAATGCGTCACATCACTCACTACTTGATATTTAGCTCTATATTTGCTCGGTACTTCACAATACCGAATTCAGCATTACTCGATACTCTGAAGTACCGAACCGTAACTTGTGTCCGGTGTCCGAACCCAATAATCCCTCCCCATTGGGCCGGCTTCTTTCTCCTACCATTTGACGAGAGATTATTAGGCGCGGGGTGCGGACGGGGAGAACCGTCCGCACAAGTATTGTTCGGCGCTAGGTACCAACACTCGGTACCGCTGGGTACCGCTAGGTACCCAGTACTTGTGCGAACGGTGCGCACGCACCTAATAATTTTTCCCGTTTGACAGCCCATCTGCACTCTCACTCCGTACCAGCACTCGGTACCTCTGGGTACCCAGTTCTTGTGCGAACTATGCGCAGGCCCCTAATAATTTTTCCCATTTGACAGCCCATCTGCACTCTCGCTCCGCTAAAAATCAAATCCGACACGGGATCCCATTCAATCTGCTTTAAGATGCGCGCACCGGGAAGATCTACCGACTCCGGTGCAAACATTCGGGCCACGCTACATAAATATCGAGAGGAAGAGAGAGAGGTAGAGAGTGAGGAAGAGAAGACCAGGCTCAGGTTCGCGGAGTCCGTTCACACTCCTGAGACGCATCGACTGGTAGATATGGAGGACGAGGAGGAGAAGCGTATGACGGCTAAGGTGCCGGGGGACGGGGAGGCGGCGGTGGAGAGACTGATGGAGGTGGTGGAGGAGATCGCGACGATCTCGGACTACCGGAACGCTTACAAGAAGCAGTTCGGCAATCTCTCGAGGCGGGTCAAGCTCCTGGCGCCGATGTTCGAGGAACTGAAAGAGAGCAGGGAACTGATCCCGGATGACGCGGTGCGAGGCCTCGTGCAGCTCCGAGAAGCTCTTGATGCGGCGAGGGAGTTGCTCCGGTTCGGAAGTGGTGGGAGCAAGATCTGCTTGGTAAGTCAGGCTGCGGAAATAGGGTGATGGCTTTTCTGTCTGTTTCGTGTTCCCTTTCACCAGGATGAGTGCGAGCCCGGTTTAGTCTCTTTGAATGGATGATCTTTCAGTGCCTGAAATGTTAGGGCTTGTTAAAAGCTTGGTTTGATTTGCATGTAGATGTGGTTCTTTCGTTTTGATGGGTGGTATTTGGTTTGGAATTTTCTAGTGCTTATTGCTTCTGGTTGCTGCATGCCATGCTTGGGGCATACGTTACGTTTGACTTCAAAATTGACATTTGGCTAACATGTTGTGCTCTTTGATTGATTTTCTATTTTAGACTTTGTAGTATTTAACTAATACTTTCTTAAAATTGGTATATACAGTATTCTGATTCCCGAAACGTAATGCTTTTCAGTGCGTTTGTTCGAGTTCTCTGATGGATTGTGATTGTGAATTTTCAATTTGGTTTTAGAAATAATACTGAGTGATGTCAAAAGCATAAGATAAATGAATTGTGCTTTATTTATTTTATTCCTTAATGCGAATGATGCTTTAGTGATTTCTTGTGCATTTGCAACTATCTGGTCTTAGATGTTAAGGGGCTGTTTGGTAGCACCCAATATTTCATTTAAGTAGGATTTCATAAAACCTCTAAATCTGGATTTGCGAAATACTGGGGGGTTAAATCCTAAAAACTGTTTGGTAACATTCATGATAAATCCTGTTAAATCTTGTGTGACTGTTTGGCTATAGAGGGTTGAATCTTGAAAAAAGCGGACTCTTCTTCCCTCTTGCACTAACAGAGCATTAAATCCGCCGAATCACAGGATTTCAGAAATCCGGTATTTATCATGAAAAGGGGTAATTTTCCGTCTAGGATGACTTTCATTTACTGTGAGATTTGTTTTTGCATTTTAGGACATTTGGCTTGATTTTGCTCAAATATGGCCTAAACCTTACTACCAAGCAGGCCCGAAATATCAAGCATTCATTCGAAATTGGTTTTCATAAGACTTAAGCCTTTCTACAATTATGTTTATTGCTTTATTAGATTGAATTATTTCCATTAATCAAGGAGAAAATATTCATAAACATGCTTACTGGGACCACTGGGTATTGGCTAACTTTTAGTTTATGCGTATAAATGTTAGTTAGTTTTTTTGAAATAAATTAAAAAGAATTGTAATGAAATAAAAGCACATGTGAATTGCTATAAAATTATTATAATTACCTATTTTGATTCTTTCAAATCTTTGATATTGGAAAATAACCTTCTACAATGCAGCCTAAAGTTTCACACAAAATTACATAACTATTATTATTTTTAACTTTCATTAATTTCACATATGCTTATATTCAAGTTATTAACTATTAAGGATATGTATGCAAGAGCTGTTACATGTGTTCAAACACAAGATCATTTGACTAAGTATTTTCCTATTTCAGTTGGATTACATCAAGGATCAACATTAAGCCCATATCTTTTTTGCTTTAGTCATGGATTTTCTCACTAGACATTTGCAAGAGGTTGTACCCTGGTGTATCCTTTTCGTTGATGATATTCTTCTTGTTGTTAAGACTAGAGAGGGAGTTGAAGGTAAACTTGAATTATGGAGATCAACCTTGGAGTCTAAAGACTTTCGTTTGAGTAGATCTAAAACTGAATATATGGAGTGTAATTTTAGTAATAATATATCTAAAGGGAGGATTGTGACTTTGGGCGATCAATTCACTAATAAGAGCATTAGTTTTAGATATCTTGGGTCTATTGTTCAGGTTGATGGTGAACTAGATGGGGATATTATTAGTAGAATTCAAGTTGGATGGTTGAAGTGGAGGAATGCATCAAGCTTGTTGTGTGATAGAAAAGTCCCTCTCAAACTTAAAGGAAAATTCTATTAGATGGTAGTGAGACCTGCAATGCTTTATGGTGCAGAATGTTGGCCATTAAAAGAGAAGCATAATGTTAAGTTAAGTGTTGTAGAGATGAGGATGCTCATGTGGATGAATGTCTTTACTCTTAAAGACAAGATATGAAATGAGCATATACATGAAAAGGTTAGAGTAGCTCTAGTGGAAGATAAGATTAGAGAGAGTCGCCTTAGATGGTTTGGTCACATAAAATGGTGGCCTTACGATGACCCGGTTAGGAAAGTAGATGTATTGGATTTGACTTATGTTAAGAAAGGTAGAAGTAGAGTCAGTAGACCTAAAATGACTTGTTTAGAAAATATTAGAATTGACCTTTCTTTTTTAAATTTAGATGAAAATTTGACTCTTAATAGGACACAATGGAGAAAAATGATTCATGTAATCAACCCTACATAGTGGGATAAAGGCATGATGTTATTGTTGTTGTTGTTTTATTAATTTCATGTAAATGTTTCCTTAATAAATTCTTACCTCAAATCGCTTTTTGAAAATCTTTTATTAGCTTTAGTGCTTCACCTTTTTACACTAAATTAATCCAATCCTTTACGGTTCCTAATTAAATTATATTAATTGATATTAAATATTACTAACAAAATTTAAAGGAATTTTCAAAGCTTAAATCAATGAAAATAAATTTTAACTAGCATCTTTTACCTCAAATTTATTTCTTCTTGCCAAATTAAACTTCCACCAATTTGATTTATTCCTTCCTAAAATCATACTCTATTGCTTTTGTCATATATATATATATATATATATATATATATATTCTTCATAATTTGAATGAAAAAATATATGATTGAAATCACTTACAAAGGAGAATGTTTTAACACAAAATCCTTCTTCTTTCTATCTCTAGTTTTCTTGCTTCACCTTTAAAAAAGATTTGGATCCTTTCTTAAGTTTAAGTCACGAAGACATAGCACATGAAATGAACGAAAATGAAAAATAACATATCTTCCTTCTCCTTCTCCTTCCTCACTGTCGGTTTCTCTGAACTGAAGCTTTCTCATGTGTTTTTCCCTTACGAGAGTGAGTGAAACAAAGATTACTCACGAGGAGTCGTTTGTTTTCACTGGTACGCGATCATTCACTCAAAAATGTAATCCGGCCCTCCCAAGCCCGTCCATGATCGCGTGCAGTCTGCCTAGGCCGCGGTTATGCTCCCGGTTCATTCGTCTGTTCGTATTAGGTAAGTTGGCCATAATTGAACTGGCTGGACTGAACCGGTTCTTACACACTCTATTAGCAAGTAGATAAAATTAGTAGAGGGTTGAATGTAAGATAATATGGATAGAAGTTATTCAAGATGATTTGTGGAAGTTATAAGTTTAACGTATTAGATAGCACTCAACAGAAATGAAGGAAAAATAAGATTCATAAAGCTAACTTTAAATAGTTAGTGATAAGGATAATTACGATGATGTTGACAATGATGATATGCATGGTAAAATTGAATGTGATTTCTTTGCCCTTATAATTGCCACTGAATATGTAGGCGTTCCTAAAATAAAATCTCACTTTCATGACCATTGTGCAAAACATATGCTTGAACTCAGTTTTGGGAATGAGTTCATCCACTTTCAAACACTTAAATCCGGACAAACCACCCCTTGTTGTAGACCATGGCAATAATTTTGATTTTCATTTACGGTTTCACATTATCAAAATCAAGTCTTTAAGTGAATTCAAATTTTCCTAATGATCGGACAAAGTTAACCCCAACTATGTATCTACTTGAAACTTTGGAATATGATAAACAAATACATGATGTTTTTTTCTTTACATCTTCTCTTTTTGCAACAGTTTTATTATCTTACAATACCACATTCAACAATAAAGCAGGGGATAATTATTTAGATATTTTGGTAAGTTATACATTTTTTTGTGATTATAGGTAACAATATATGGCAATTCTCTTAAACATCTTAAAAGAAGATATACATGATACAAATAGAGCTCAAATCCCTATAGCTGCATTGATCCTTTTGTTTCCTCACAAAGAAATGTTTTAAATAAGTAGTTTAATTTTGTCACATTTGGCTCCCTGTACCTCAATCAATTGCTAAGGCTTTGTTAGGATAAAATGTGTAGATGCTTTTTTATGTTCAAAATAATTATTTGAAGCCACAAAACTTAGAATGATTAATAAGAGCTACTGGATTCCTGGTTGTTACCTATAGGTGAAAGCGACACATAAATCAGAATGTAGCTGGTGATTATAGCTATTACAAGCTCTTACTAAGCTAGAAAGTTGAGGGGTTGGCTTCTTAGACATCTGGTTGTTAGTGCAATGGCTTTACCTGGACCTCCAAAATAGTAAAAAGCATTCAGTGACATTCTTAAGAGAAATAGAGCTTCTGAAGCTTTGTTCTTTGAATGATGGAGGTGATGAGAAACATTTTAGCTGTCTGTTTATGGCACTAAAACAGTTATAAAAAATAAGGAAAACAAATTGAAAGCGCTTCTAGATACGTGCAGTAATTGTTTGGTAAGTTATATGGATTGGTACGCCAAGCATTTGGGATGAACATAATTAGCAGTCATGAAATTTAAAGTTGCCAGGCTTTTCTTTATTTTAGTATTTGGATGACTTAATGATAATCTCTTAGTTGCTAGCCTACTTATTTTATGTTGTTTCTCCTCATAATAATTTAAAATGGAGCCACCTGCTCTTGGCTGTTAGTTAAAGTTTGTAATCTGTGATTTTTTCTTCTTTGTGTCTTGTTTGAAGAGGCCGCATGGTCTGTTTTTCAAGTTACTTGAACTACGAATATAACATTTAATTGCTTGTCCTAGTACATAAAGCTGTAAATTGTCGTATTGGAATGGGTTCATATTCTGCATCCTGTTCCAGTAAAGTCACAAAATGTTTCTCTTCTTCTTTGTTCTACAATGCTAATTTGTGCATGACATACGGATCCGGTAAAAGAGAATGCCTAATTATTTTCATTCTTTCGTGTTAACATATCAAATAACTACTTACCGTGCTAGTCTGCAGTACATTGGATTTTATCGTTTCCCCCATATTTTGCTTTTTTCCGTCTCTTCTGCAGTTATTATAGTTTTATTTTCCCTGAAAGCTAGGTCATTTTGCTTGCCTTGGTACTAGCTTAAGCTAGTTTTATTTCATTTGACGGAGTTTTGATTTTACAATTTACATGGTCAAATATGTCTTATTATGTGCCCATTCTCATTAGAGGGGGTCAAGATAATGATGAAATAAGTTTTTATTCCCAAGGGGACATATATTACATGATGCTTTTATCATCCATGCTGAAGCAAGTCAGCGAAATAAAGTTCTGACAACCATAATTTGTTGTAAAATCAAAGACTTACCTGATCGATACTAGTAGTTTTTTTTTTTTTTAAACTCTGGGTTAAAAGCATTGAATGGGTCTTGCAGCAAACTGCACCAACTTTGATGGGAGTAAATGCCTGCAGCTTCCTGTGTAATGATCAGCGATTTTGTGATAACTTCTTTTTAATTCCTTAAATTAATCTGGATAATATTTTACATGGTATTCTTTTTTCTTTTTTCTTTTTTTTTTCTCTGAAAAATTGAAGCTTGAGAGATCCATCTTTCAAGGCTCAAAATAAAAATTCTTATGACTTGACTGCAATGCTTTCTTCAGTTTATGTTGCTTCTTTTTTTTATCATTCAGAAGGTCAATGCTATATTTTCTTATTGTAAGGTCAAGTTATTAAATATAATTGATTTTTATAGGTCTATTTCGCTTACTATACTTTTATTTTGCACATGTTTGACTTATATGAAGTTGCTAAGGATGAGATAAAGTTGCTTACAACTATTCTACATATGGTCACTGGTGCTAGTACAAGTGCATCATTTATTTGTTTCATTGGATTCCTCAATTGGTGGGACTTTACTGCCTATTATTTGATTTCGTTTATTATTATTGAGTCATTATTGATGTGGGAAAAATATTAAGGGGCTGGGATCATTTTTTTTTGTTTAGTATTTAAAAAACATGTTTAATTTATATTTTTTAGTTATTTTTTATTTTGAATATAAGTCAAAATATTCTTGAAAATACTCGAAACAACTTTTTAAATATTTTCATTTTTGTAATGCAAAACAACCCAACCACCGGCCACCACCACTGCTAGCTGCCTTTGCCGCCTTCCATTACATCTTATGTCAAAATAATATAATATTTATTTAGGTTATCAAATGTATTTTTAATTAGTACTAAAATATTAAAAAAAAAAAAGAAGAATGCGATCCCAAATGGCCCCTAAGTTTTTTAATACATTTGGTATTCATGTGTATCTATATTGGTTTTTCTTTGGTCCCTTGCAAGCTGTAACTAGCTCTTCATTGCAGGTTCTGGAAAGTGATAAAATGACAAAATGGTTCCAAGAAGTTACTGCTCAATTAGAACAAGCACTGGATGCAATTTTGTTTGATAAACTTGACATATCTGATGAAGTCAGAGAACAAGTATGTGGCACCCTTTATAAATTTTGGTGTCTAAGATGCAAAAGCATATATTGTGGCCATCCTTTACATCATGCTTAAAAAAAAACTCCTTTTCTTCATCTTTTAATACATGAAAACTTATTTCTATAGGATTTCAGTTTATCCAAATAGAATTACTTCTTGGAAGTAGGTTGAATCAGTGTGGACCCTTAAACTGTCCTTTTATTTGTATTAACTACTGAACAGTATGTGTTTATAATTCAAATATTATCTAGTAGGTTGAGCTTGTTCATACTCAATTCAAAAGGGCCAAGGAGCGAGTTGATATGCCTGATGCTGAGTTATATGGTGACATTTCTTTTCTATATGATAAGGCCAGTGACTCTTTTGTTGATCCTGAAATCCTTAGTAGATTAGCTGCAAAATTGCAGCTAAGCACCATATCTGATCTCACACAAGAATCACTAGCTTTGCTTGAGATGGTTGCTGCTAGTGGAGACCCTGAACAGAGTATAGAGAAAATGTCAATGCTCCTAAAGAAAATCAAGGACTATGTGCAAACTCAGAATCCTGAGATGGGCACTCCATCAAATCCCAAATCTCTTTTTTCTGATGGAAAGCACCAAGTCCCTCTCATTCCTGATGATTTCCGCTGTCCTATTTCGCTTGAGCTGATGAGAGATCCGGTCATTGTGGCTACTGGACAGGTACTTCTTAATATCTATGAAATACTTCCTTTTCATAAGCAATATCTAATTATGCTGCTGAACCTATTACTATTTTCAACAGACTTATGAACGAGCCTGCATTAAGAAATGGATAGATGCAGGGCATGACACATGTCCAAAGACACAACAGAAACTCCCAAATACAACCTTAACTCCCAACTTTGTTCTTCGAAGCCTTATAGCCCAGTGGTGTGAAGCCAATGGCATGGATCCACCAAAGTGTCCTTCCAAGCCAAGCAAGCCATCTTCAGCTTGTTCCCCCGCGGAACGTGCTAACATCGATGCTCTCATTTGCAAGCTATCCTCTCCAAACATCGATGATCAAAGATCAGCTGCTGGTGATATTCGTTTGCTTGCGAAGCGCAATGCGGACAACCGCATTTGCATTGCTGAGGCTGGCGCTATTCCGGTCCTCGTGAATTTGCTGTCCACCACTGACCTGCGCACCCAGGAACATGCTGTCACTGCTCTTCTAAATCTGTCCATATATGAGGATAACAAGGGGATTATCATCTCCTCTGGAGCTGTGCCTGGAATTGTCCATGTTTTGAGAAGCGGCAGCATGGAAGCCCGAGAAAATGCTGCAGCCACATTCTTCAGTCTTTCAGTTGTGGATGAGAACAAGATAACTATAGGTGCATCAGGAGCAATACCAGCTCTTGTTTCACTACTGAATGAAGGCAGCCAGAGGGGAAAGAAGGATGCTGCAACGGCCCTTTTTAATCTCTGCATATACCAGGGGAACAAGGGTCGGGCAGTGAGGGCTGGAGTGGTGCCGACATTAATGTTGCTCTTGACAGAGCCTGCTGGATTAATGGTGGATGAGGCACTTGCTATACTTGCGATATTATCGAGCCACGCCGAGTGCAAAGCGGCGATTGGGGCGCTTCAAGCTGTTCCAGTGCTAGTAGAGGTTATCAGGAGTGGTTCGCCGAGAAATAAGGAGAATGCTGCTGCTATTTTGTTGCATCTCTGCACAGGGGAACAACAGCAGCAGCATCTCGCCGAGGCTCAGGAGTGCAGCGTCATGGGAGCCTTGCTAGAATTGGCTTCAAGTGGCACTGACAGAGGCAAGAGAAAGGCTATGCAACTGCTCTACAGAATGACCAGGTTCATAGAGCAGCAGAGCCAAGCTCAGGCTCAAGTTCAAGCCCAGGCTCAATCAGATCAATCCTCCACAACAGTTTCTGATTAGATGTAGGTTGACTTGATCAAATAGCCTGTCATCCTGATTCATTCCTGTGTTATTGTTTGTGTTATTTCAAACTAAAAAGAGGTGAAGCAGCTAAAGAGAAACAATGGAGTTCAGGAATGTTTTCTGAAGCTTTGTGGCACTTTGCAGTGTGAGAACTTCCCTTAGTTTATTTTTTTTTTATTAAGGGAAGCATTGTGTTAATTATTGGTAATTGTCTATTGCTGATGTTGTTATTCTGCCACGTTGCAGTGATGATGGAAATCGAGTATTTCTCATCGTTTATTCTTAGTAGAAAGTTCTACAAACCACTACTGAAAACGTTGCAGACAGATTTGAATGCCTTTTTTCTACAGTGGTATCTATACGTATAATTTCTTAGGTTCTTTATGTTCTGTTGAGGTATTTTTGGGAGGAAGAAGAGTTCTTTGATAAACAGGTTCTGTCCGCCCTTTATGCCTAGCTTAATTAAGATAAAATTAAGAGAGTTTTGAGAGGGAAAATTCAAATAGAAGGGTTTACCTAAGGATTGTATGTTTAAGTAGGTTTTGGTGGTTAGGGTGATATTTTTATCCTGATTTTTGCTTGTAGTTTATTGTTCCTGTTTCTTGTGAGGGTTATAGCGGCATGTAGAGCGTGGGGAGAGCTAGATCTTCTTCTCCAATTGAAGATCCCAATTGTATTTTCATTGAGGGAGTTTTTCTTTAATCAAATATAGTTGTTGTGTTTGTGATTTATTTATCTTTTCCTCCAAATCAGCTTGCAATGGGGCTATATTTTCTTGAATTCAGCAAGGAATTTTTTGGTATTTCCTAATAAATTAGTACGAGAGCATTTTGATCTAGGGTACCAATGGTCGGAAAGGTGGGAGTGTTGGAGGGGGAAATAGGTCAACTGAAATCAAATTTTATGGAGAAAATTTCAGATTTTGAAAATCAGTTTGCATACGTTCATGAAAAGATCGATGGAAAATTCGTCGTCGTGAAAGAATTGTTGAGGAAGTTGCTTGAAGCCAAACAAAATATGACGACATCAGAAATGAAGGAAGCCACTGGGGGCCAAGGAAGAGGAGGAAACCCTAATCCGTTTAGGAGGGGAAAATCAAAAGGTGGAGATTTTGGAGGGATATAATGAGATGCCTTCGCCATAGCCTATTTTTAGGGATGAGATGAGTATTGGATATGAGCAAAATGTGCTGATTTTGCAAAAAGAGGGTGGATTATTAATGCAGGGGTGTTGATTTTTAAAGGATGAGAAATTTCAAAGAAGGGTTTGGGTATTTGCACATAAGGGATGATCAAGACACCGGGGAAGCATCTCCCTTTCAGGGAATGAGAGGCTAAGGAGGATTCATGGAAAACATAGGCTATCTAAGAGTGTAGAAGCTGAAGACGTCATCTTTGAGGTAGATGATGCACATTTGTGGATCTACAAAGTGGAGATGTATTTTGCCATCAACGGTTTGAAGGAGAAGGAGAGGTTGATGACAGTGGGCCTATGTTTGGAGGGGAAGGCCTTTGCTTGATACCAGCAGAGGGAAATGCAATGACTCATATGGAGATGGAGGGAGTTCAAGGAATGCTTAGTGGAATGTTTCGAACCAGCAAGGGAGGGAATTTCTAAGAGCAACTTTTCGCCTTGACACAGGATGGTTTTGTGGCAGAGTGTCATGAGAGGTTTGAGTACCTTATTAGTTGATTGGATCGCCTTTCTAAGACAATCTTAGAGGAAAACTTCATGAAGGGGCTAAAACCAGAGATCCATGCAACGATTAGGGTGATGAGGCATCATGACTTGGGAAAGTCAATGGAGTTGGCACAGTTATTGGAGGACCAGAAGAACCTAGAAAGGGGGGCCAGAGGCAATAGCTCAGGATGCTCATACAATATGATCACCAGATTTTTAGTTCCCAAGGGGTCAACACCAAGAAGCCTTCATGAGAGCCTAAAGGAGAAGCCTATAGGATGGGGATTTGGGAGAAATTTTAAGAAGCTTACTAAGAAGGAGCTGCATGAGAAACATGCAAAGGGATTGTGTTTCAGATGTGATGAGAGGTACACGCCGGAGAATAGGTGTAACTATTCAAGTTCTTACCATCTGTAATGACAAGGAAGATGATGGAGAGAGGGAGGCAGTGGTAGTAATGGAGGAAGAGATGCATCTTGACATATCCGAAGTCTCCTTAAACTCGGTGGTGGGGTTCACTTTGAATCACACCATGAAGGTCAAAGGAGAAATAAGTTATAAAGAGGTGGTGGTGCTAATTGATGGTGGGGTTACCGATAATTTTATCTCCAACTAGGTTATTGAACAATTTGGGGTAAAATTTGTGGATGGGGGCTACAAAAATTCCAAAGCCAGATCCTGGTCAGTCAGTTTGTTTGGTTCCGTGTCGCGACCCGGTGCGAGCGCGATCCGTCCCGGATCGGGTCGGGTCGTGACAGCTCATACAAGATGATCACCAGATTTTTAGTTCCCAAGGGGTCAACACCAAGAAGCCTTCATGAGAGCCTAAAGGAGAAGCCTATAGGATGGGGATTTGGGAGAAATTTTAAGAAGCTTACTAAGAAGGAGCTGCATGAGAAACATGCAAAGGGATTGTGTTTCAGATGTGATGAGAGGTACACGCCGGGGAATAGGTGTAACTATTCAAGTTCTTACCATCTGTAATGACAAGGAAGATGATGGAGAGAGGGAGGCAGTGGTAGTAATGGAGGAAGAGATGCATCTTGACATATCCGAAGTCTCCTTAAACTCGGTGGTGGGGTTCACTTTGAATCACACCATGAAGGTCAAAGGAGAAATAAGTTATAAAGAGGTGGTAGTGCTAATTGATGGTGGGGTTACCGATAATTTTATCTCCAACTAGGTTATTGAACAATTTGGGGTAAAATTTGTGGATGGGGGCTACAAAGTGATGATGGGAAATGCGAAGGTGGTTCTCCCATACTTGTTATGTACTTTTTCTTTACTTAATCAATGCAAATGCAACTTTCAAGGGAAATGCGAAGGTGGAAATGGGTAGAGGAATGTGTAGGGGAGTTGTGCTGACGATTCATGGGACTCAGGTGAGGGAGGATTTTCTCCCATTGGAGTTAGGGAGCACTGATATCATCTTGGGGATGAAGTGACTGCAAACCTTGGGAGATACCAAGGTCAATTTGGGAGCGCTAACGATGGAGTTGATGGTGGAGGGAAGAAGGATGGTGATCAGGGGAAATGCGGGGTTGTCTGAAGCTATGATACCCCTCAAACCTAGGGTAAGGACCATACAAGAGGTGGGAGGATGGAGGAGCATTAATCCCATTGGAGCTAGGTTGAAGTCAATCAATGAGAGGGAATTAATGATTATTGTGTTAGCCATTCATAAGTGGCGACTATGCTTATTGGCGTGACATTTCATTGCCAAAATGAATCAGAGGAGCTTGAAGTTCCTTTTAGAGTAGATGATGATGATGGAGGAGCATTGTTATCAAAGCTATTAGGCTATGATTTTAAGATTCAATATAAGCCCAGATTATAGAACAAAGTGACGGATGCCTTATTCATATGCATGCGGGAACTCCATGAGTTAGCTATGTCAATACCACTGATGCTGGATTGGGGAGCCATCAAAGATGATAATATGCCGGATAGGTGATGTGGTGTTGATTATTTTTTCTTGCAAGTATACATGCAAAATAAATAATATAAAATGCGTCAAAATATTATTCGAAAAAGAATCAAAATTTTATTTTTTAAAGTTAAATATTGATTTAAATTATCTTAAACCTTCATTCGATTACTTAATTTTAGATTCATCTACTATATATTTCACTTAACTTAAAACTTATAGGACAAAATTTTGGATTCATGTCTTTTTAAATGTCATAATATGATAACGTACTAAATTTGATTTATTTTTTCTAGTTGCCCATCAAGAATTAAATTTATCTTCTTATTTCTTCCAGAAACAAATAGGTCAAACCTTATTAAATTAAATAGCCCACTATATATGTCTCTATGTGAACTACCTAAATAATATTTCATTAATATTTTATTCTTAATGATTGTAATTGTACTAGGAATATATTTCTATCTCACAAGTACACTTGTTAATTTATCTGAACTACCCACCGAGACTTAGAGTTGTTGGTGGGCGACCAAGGTTAAGAACCCCATATCCCGGGTTCGAATCCCTCTACTACGGCCTCACCTCTTCAGTGGGGCAAAACAAGTGTAGATTCGATGTCAGTGGGTAGTCTCGCTAGGTTACGATGAGTGATTAGTTAAGCCGCCAAACACTCCATTTGGAGTAGCAGCGGATAAATAACTCCATTCCAAAAATAAATAAAATTATCTAAACTAAGCATACAATATTTGTATTGCAGGTTGCTCCATGTGTATCGATGGTGCTTTACACTCTTATCTTTAATCTAATTTATCTTGATACGGGCGCCTAGGTGCTAGAACAAAGGTGTCTTTGTGGTCAAGGTAGCGCCATGTTGCTACATGAATCCTTTTTTATCCATTATGTCATATTAAGGCTTCATTTGGGACGGCTTTTTTACAGCTTATTAAAGCAACTTTCTAGTATAAAAAATTAAAACTTTTATGATAAAAAATTGTGTTAAGAAATAATAAGAAAGCCATTTCAAACGAAACTTGGGAGGCAATAATTATTATTATTATTTTTGAGACATTTAAGCCAATTAAGATAAATTAACACATATATCACATACAAAATTTCGAACCAAAAGCTCTTATGAACAATTAAAAAAAAAATACTTAAGTCAGAAAATTTCTCCCTAAAAACGGCTGAGCAACCAAGCCCAAAAGGACACAGCTCACCTTGGCTTGTTGGTTGAGAGCTTATGCTTCCAACTAAGAGGTCTTGGGTTTGAGTCTTTGTGTATGGGTTGTGTGTGTGAATTTGTCTTAAATGGCCTAAATGTCCAGAAAAAAAAAAAAACCATGGCCAAAAGGACGCGAGTCCAAAATCCAACGAGGTGGTCCATATGACCACCACAACCTTTCCAATTTCCATATGCAAAGTTTCGGCCAACTCTGCGGAATTCCCGCGCATATCAAACGATTATCAAGCGCCTGAACTTTCTAGCAATGGCGTCCTTCGTGCTCTAAATAGCCCCGCCAAGAGCATCTCGTCCTCCTCCCTCTGCTTACTGAAACGGAAATCCCTCTACCTTTCAATTCTTCGTTTCTCCTATTCCAAACTCTCCAGATGGCGAGGAAGAGCGAGGGTCCGGCAATCGGGAACGATCTCGGGATGACGTACTTGTGCGTCGGGGTGTGGCAATACGATCGCGTGGAGATCATTGCAAACGATCAGGGGAATCGCACCACTCCCTCCTATGTTGCGTTCACCGACAACGAGCGCCTCATCGGCGACGCTGCCAAGAACCAGGTCGCCATGAATCCCATCAATTCGGTATTCGGTGAGTCTTTTACCCTGTACAACAAAAAGGGGAAGGAGACAAATGAATGAGAAACCCTATAACAGTTCTATTAGTTTATGGACTAGGGGTGTCAATTTTTGACCCGACCCGAAACCCGATCCAGACCCGACCCGGAAAAATCCGGGTTCAGGTCAATCCGTTTATGAAACGGGTCGGTTCGTGTTTAGTAAACTGACCCGTTTCAAAAATTGGGTCGGGTTCGGGTTGACCTGGGAACCCGAAAACGACTCGGAAATGATCTCTGCCCGACTGCCCAGTTGCCCGACGCCCTTCGCGGTTCGCATGCCAGCGCCTCGTTCCCGCGCCTTTTCCCGTTGGCAGTGTCGCCGTTCTGGGTTCAGTTGCAAGTCGCGACGCGTGCCGAGTGCCAACTGCCAACTGGTCCTTGGCCGCGGTGCCGCCTGGTCCGCCGCTGCGCACGTGCTACCGCCGGCCGCCGCGCGTGCTGCCGCTGTCAGCTACCACTTCAAAAATGGGTCGGGTTCGAGTTGACCCGTTTAGAACTGGGTCAACTCGGATTCGACCCGAACCCAACACGTCGACCCGAATTGACCCTCCTAAATATGGACTATATTACTCTTTGATTTATCACATATTTAATGAGCATTTTTTTATGGTTTGTCATTCTTCTCATTTCTTTTGCTCGTTGTTCTTTCCACCAATCTTTTGAGATAAAAATGCAGTAATCTGCTGGTATTATAATCATCTAAATATGAAATCTTTTGTAGATGCCAAGCGCTTAATTGGCAGAAGATTCAATGATGAATCAGTTCAGAGAGATATTAAGTTGTGACCCTTCAAGGTTGTGGGAGGCCCTGTAGACAAACCAACGATTTTAGTTCAGTATAAGGGCGAACAGAAGCAATTTTATGCAGAGGAAATTTCATCTATGGTTTTGACTAAAATGAAAGACATTGCAGAGGCCTATCTCGGAACAACCATTAAGAAAGCCGTTGTTACTGTTCCTGCCTACTTCAATGATTCTCAGCGACAAGCAACCAAGGATGCTGGCGTTATTGCTGGTCTCAATGTTTGCTGGTCTCAATGTCATGCGTATTATCAACGAGCCCACTGCTGCTGCCATTGCTTATGGCCTTGTTAAGAAGGCTACCAGTGTTGGGGAGAAGAATGTTCTGATTTTTTACCTTGGAGGTGGAACCTTCGATGTCTCTCTTCTTGCCATTGAAGAGGGCATATGTGAGGTCAAAGCTACAGCTGGTGACACCCATCTCGGAGGCGAAGATTTCGATAATCGGCTACTTAACCACTTTGTTCGGGAGTTCAAGAGGAAGCACAAGAAAGACATCAGTGGTAATCCCAGATCTCTGAGGCGGTTGAGAACTGCTTGTGAGAGAGCCAAGAGGACTTTGTCATCTACAGCCCAGACCACCATTGAGATTGATTCTCTCTATGAGGGTGTTGATTTCTATTCAAAGATTACTCGAGCGAGGTTCGAGGAGCTCAACATGGATCTCTTTAGAAAAATGCATGGAGCCTGTAGAGAAGTGCCTTAGGGATGCCAAGATGGACAAAAGCCATGTCCAGATGTTGTACTTGTTGGCTGATCAACTCGAATCCCCAGAGTTCAGCAACTGCTGCAAGATTTCTTCAATGGCAAGGAGCTCTGCAAGAGCATTAATCCTGATGAGGCTGTTGCATATGGTGCTGCCGTCCAAGCTGCTATTTTGAGCGGCGAAGGCATTCTGAATGTCTCTGCTGAGGATAAGACCACAGGCCAAAATAATAAAATAACCATCAGTAATGACAAGGGAAGGCTGAGCAAGGGGGAGATAGAGAAGATGGTTCAGGAAGCTGAGCGGTACAAGGCTGAGGATGAAGAGCACAAGAAGAAGATAGAGTCGAAGAATTCGCTGGAGAACTATGTCTACACATGAGAAATACCATCAAGAATGGTAAGATTGCTTCAAAGCTAGGCGCCGAAGACAAGAAGAAGATTGAAGATGCTGTAGATCAGGTAATCTAGTGGCTGGATAGTAATCAGCTGGCGGAGGCTGATGAGCTTGATGATAAAATGAAGGAACTGGAGGGCCTCTGCAATCATATTATTGCCAAGATGTACCAGGCAGGTGGTGGTAGGCCTAATGGCATGGATGAGGATGGTCCTGCAGCTGCGGGTGGCAGAGGCGCTGGTCCTAAGATTGAAGAAGTTGATTAGTATGTTCGTATCTGGAGCTGTTTAGCTTGGCTGGTAATGTCAAATTTGTGCATTCATTTTCTATTATCATCAATGAAGATATGAAATGCTACTTTATATCATCTTTTGAACTTATAAAAGAATGCTCCATTACATCTTTGAAACATACTGAATGTAAATAGCATGAAATAAAGTGGTATGTATGTAAATCTCCTGAAAAATAAATAGATAGAAATTTTCTCTACTAGTTCGGACATAACCTATTTTACATATATATGTTGATGATCTACTTATATTTAGTAAGATAGATCTTAAATATTTCATATTTAAAGTTAGTTCTTTATTATTTTGAAAAAATCTCTAGCATTTATCCACTACGTTGGGGTCGGCTATAGCCTACATGAATCTTTTTTTCTGCATTGTGTTATGTTAAGAGTCGAATTCTCTTTTAAATCTAATAACAATATGTCATTTCTAATATTTTCCAACCAAGATTTTTTAAGTCTATTTCTACATTTCTTAACATAGGTCAAATCTAATACATCTACTGTCCGAACCGGGTCCTCAGAAGATCGATGTTTTAAGTGACCAAACCATCAAAAGCGACTCTATCTAATCTCATCTGTCTTTGGAGTTACTCTGTCCTTTTCACTTTATGCTCATATTGAAATTTAATAAAGTTGCAACTTAAACTAATGTCAGAACATAAGTAAGATTTGATTCTGATAATTTTTTGAGCAAAATAATTAAAGATCAAAGGAGAATGTGGCGTCCGATTTACAATAATCAAAATTACTAGAGACTTGCATCACAAATTACAAAGACTCGATGATGGCATTTACATATATAGCTAAGCAACCAGCCCAAGTTGCATTTTCTCCTTGCAAAAAGTCAATGTCATGGATGAAACTGCGAAGTTTGATAAAAATTGACAAGTCGAGCCTATGGAATTGAAATTAATTTGATCAAATTGATTTGAGATCATATCATCCACACATGCTAGAATAGTATTCTTCATTACTACAAACAAAGAAACCGATCAAGGGAGGACACACAAAAACTTACGTTCACTTAGAAATTTAGGGTTCGGTTTTGTTTCTCTGCTCTGGTTTTCAGTTTTCTCCCAAGTAAGAAGAGTTCGATTGCTCTGTTGGTCCGCTCGACTTCAATTCACACGCTCAGGACAGCAGCAACCCATGACTGCACAAGCCATCGCCGGCGACCTGTCCGTCTGAACTCTTCAGGCAAGGAAGGACCCGACGCCGTGAGCCTTCTCCCTCACCTACGAGCGGCCCCAGCCCTTCCGCCAGCCTTCTCTGTGTCCGACCTCCGCGCGCAAGCAAACCCACGCCCGATCACTGGCTTCGGCTCACGTGAACGGAATCCAGGCTTAGCTGCTTAAGTCCCGTCTCTGTTGCAAACAAACCTCACCTGATTTCCGTTAAAAAATACCGATTTTTCCTGTTTAGGGTTTAGAAAAAGTAAGGAAGTAGGTAGGGTATTTGATTATTATTATTATTAATGGAGTGTTAATAATAATAATTAGCATTAAAGATATTTGTTAAATATTCATATTATAACAATTAAAAGTAGGAGAAATGGAGCGCAAGTGTCAAATCAAAAGACTTGAAGAAAGCCCTTAGGTTGATTCGCTTCTGCCAAGCCCTTGGTCGTCGATCTGATCCAACCGAGTGGATTGAAGACACGAATATTATTTTCGGGGTTGATTTGCTCCCCCGTACTTCTCGCCGTTGATTTGATTCAGTCGATTCGAGTCAAAAGGACAAGTGTCCTCTCCTACCTCCCCTAATGGAGAGAGAACGTTGGGAGACAGCCAAAATTTACTAAAAAATTTTGAACTTAGGTAGATTTTGAAAAAAAAAACATGAATCTAATTTGAAACTAATTACACTAATTAATTGGATTATAATTCCAAAATAAACTGAAATGAATTAATTAATCTTAATCTAAACTTTTAAGTTAACGAGGTAATTAATTAACTTAATTTAATAATTAATTAATGAAATCTGAATTTAAAATAAATTCATCTGATTGGATAATTCTAAGCTTAATCATTAAAGATCAATTAAATATTATTTAACTCAGCCATATTCCTTAAATAAGTTTAATAATTAATAAAATAATTAATCTAAAAAAAAAAGCTTAGCTAAATTCAAGAGCTGCATTCGGCGGTGAATTTGGTTTCGAGCCTTCGGATTGTGATTTCATGTAGCCGGAATTCTGCGGGGGGTTTGACCCTGGGAATGATTTCTCTTTGGTTCGTGTTAATCCTGGCCGTTCAAAGGTTACTCGTGGTAGGGGCCGTCGTAGATGTTGATTAATTGTATGTTTCTTGTTATTTTTGCTGTGGATTTCGGGTTATGACAGCAAAATTTCGTCGTCATTTTTCGATTTGTTTTGGGGCTATGATGTGGCTGGGGTTCGTGCCCTCTTCGGTTTGCTGGTGGCAACCTTTGGTGCTTATCGTGATTGGTCGAATACTGGACGCTTTTTCACCTCACTGGATGGTTCGTGCGAGCCGTTGGGGCACTGGGATCTCGGCCTGATACTGAGCCCACTATAAATGTATTTTATCTATTTATTTCTGGTTGGCCTTTTCTTGTTGTAACCGTCTATTTTTATCAATATATTAAAAAAAAATAGCTGCATTCGGCAATCTGTTAACCATTTAAAAAAAATTATAAACTTAAATGAATTTAAAAAAGTAAATTAAATCTAATTGAATTAACTAATTTTAAAATAAAATCAAAACCTTAATAAAAAAATTTAAATCAAAACTTTGAATTAATTTAAGGGCTGAATTAAAATCAGAACTTAAATTAAATTAAACTTCAATTTGAAATTTAATTGATTGAATTAATTGAATAAATCAACTTAACTTAAATAATCTCAAAATACTTTTAAAATTTAAAATTAATAAACAGAGCAAATTGAGTTTAACGTATATGTAATTTTAAAATACATTTGAAAATTTAACTAATAATTTGAACAAATTAAATGGTAATTAAAACTCAACTTTCATTTAATTCATATAATTGATTAATAATCAAATCAAATTTAACATGATTAATTTCATAAATACAATAAATGAGCTTATAAATTGAATTTAAAATTAAAACTCTACATTTCTCCACTTCAATTTACTTGGAATCCCTAAGCTTAATCATTATTTTTTTTTAATCAATGTCTGACCTATGAGGGAAATGTTTAGGTAACAACATAATCCTAAACCTCTCACTCGAGCATTATGGGGCTAGGTTGTAAGACCCACTGCACTGGCTACATAGCTTATAGAGCTAGGTCGTAAGACTCGTTGTTAGATAACTTCTAAGGAAGCCATAAGACATATCGAACCAAAAAAAAATAATCTTTGAACTACTTCTAATATAAGCCATAAGATTCACTCATACCCAAAATCTTTGTGCCACCTCTAATAGAAGCTGTAAGACAACTACCAGGATCACTTTCAAATGAAAGTCTTAAGTCCCTATCAAAATTCAATCACACAGGCAATTCTTAAACTGAGCTATAAGCCCCAACACAAACCTAAATTAAATTAAAATCTACATTTATCCACTTCAATTTACTCGGGATCCCTAAGATGATGCAACTCATGGCTGCTAATCGGATTTCCTGGACACTAAAATCAATAGTTGTTAGTATTGATAGACTGAACCAATAATATACCCGGAATGACATAACCATGAGACATTTATCCCACTACATAGGATCAACAATATGATCATTTTTCTCTACTGTGTCCTATTAAGAGTCAAATTCTCATTTAAATTTAATAAAAAAATTATTTGTAATACTCTCTAACCAAATCTTTTTATGTCCATTTTTTTCTTTCTTA